CCGCCGATAGATCGGAAGCTGTTTGTTTCATATGTACGACTAAATCCATTAGGATTGACCAATTGGAAGTCAAGACCACCGCGTGCACCATGGGGAGGAACGATGCCATTATCCATATTTATAGCATTCAGCTGCATGTCTGAAGCTCCAGTCTTAAGTCCCGTCACCCACGACAACAAGGCAATTATTGTGACCTCTATTAGTCGAAGTGAAAATTGGTAGCCCCACTGGGGCCAGTTTATGTCAATCGAATATGTTGTTAATGATTTTGTCGATGAAACGCTGATTGCACCGTAAATTTGAAGTGCAGCAAGTGATACGAAAAGCAAAGCAATAGCAATAGTTATGTGAATGGCATACGAAAGATTTTGGTACCCGTGAATGTAATTTTGTGATTTGTTGCGTAATACACGTTTCAGAATGCGGTAAATGTAAAGATAAAATATTCCCAAGCTGAGACATACAAATATATAGATTATTTGACAGATGAGTGACAGCAGTCGTGGTGGGCCAGAATGTCCCCGAATTATGTTGTTGTAATATTTATTTGAAGAAGCAAAACCATTTGCTGCTTGCTGACTCAAAGTATAGCTGAAGTTCTTGCTGGCAATACTTTCAACGTAGTGAAGTGTTATGCAGAGACCAACATGAACACTGCAAGCGACTAACACTGTTAATGGACGCATGAGTGGTGAGTATCGATTATTCTTATGATTCAAACTTCGGATCAGTAAGAAAAGAATTAATGTTGCGAATGCAACAGTCAAAAATGTTGCTGGCAGATTTAGTAGCACTTCTGAGACAAACGGATCAAAGCTGAGATGAATGTTGTATGCGTCGTAACATAAATAGAAAATGCGTGCTAAACAGATGATAATCAGGAACAAATGAATGCATATGAAGTACGATTGGTTGAATAGATGCGTAAGTTTATCATAGAACATCATTTTAAAAATTGAATAAACTGCTAAGATAGTAAACAGAATAGCAGAGAGATAAACATGAATGTTCCATGCAATTGTCCATGTTTGCACTTCACTTTGTTCTGCATTGAATTTGCTATTCGTGTTGATATCATAAATTGGGTTTTGATTGATCGGATTCTGTACTGGTTGAATTGTGGATGTGAACAGCGTACGATCATGATTAACATTTGCTAAATTTTGAATGTTTTCAGTCGAATAAATGGTTTCGCCTTCTTTCTTCATATCACCATTGTTATTATTATTATTGGTGTTCATACTGTTTGATTGTGATATCGTTGGTAATTCAGACTCGTAGTCATCTTCATCGTCATCGTCAATATCACTCGTATCATCATCAGAGTCTTGATTTGAATTTAAATCTTTCACGTCGTTATTATCTTCGTTTTCTGTATTTGTTTTGTCGTTATCTTCGTTTTCAATGGGTAAGTTATTTGAAGGAGAATTTTTATCGGATTGGGGATCATTCGTCGATTGTTCCACAACAGCTGGAATTGGACGAACAGTTACCGTTCTTAAAAGAACGTCAGGAATGTCTTCTTGTCTCCCATTCGAACCTGACAAGATTCGTGAAATGCTTGGAATTATTTTCGACACGTCTGATGGATTTTCAGAGTTCAGCAAAGCACGATTACCGTTGCTTGTATCATAAGGATGTCCTAAATCCACCTTATTAACTTTGTGCGACGGCGTATTCAAAACCTTTTTTGGTTGATTACTTTGCTGAAGATCTGTATTTAATGTTTGCGAAGTGCTTATTGAAACTGGCCGGTTTTCAGAGAGATCAGGCCTCAATGGTACGCGTTCATGACCTGGTGTTATACTTGGAGGCGGTATGGGACGTCGACTCATGGGGTTCCCTGTATCCATAATACCAACTTCGCTGTTGGTCCCGCGTAAAGTTGGCTTATCAGCAAATGGATTATTGTATTCTCTTGGTAATGGAGGTGTGAAGAAAGACCGCGTAGGCGGAGAATACGATGGCATATTTCCAGAATGCATTGGGAATGTTGGATATTTTTTGTTGTGGCCTAAAATGCCAATGTTATCGATTAACCATTTTCTATGGATACTAATCATTGAAAAAGTTTTTGTCTAATTTGTCGTTGTGCATTAAAAATATATTTCGGAAAAAAAATTAGACAATGCATGGGAAAAAAATGGAAAAGAATTCAAAGAGAAAAAAAAACTGTTTCTGACTTTAAGAGTCTCGAAATCCATTAATAATGTTTTGTTTTTTAAGCTCGCTCATCGCGATAAAAGCACAACGAATAGAAGGACAAATTGTGGCGCAAAAGAGCGAATGAAATAAAATCAATAAATCATAAAAATTGAATTATAATGATTACCTTGAGGACTCGGCGTGGCATTTTGATGTCGATGATTATGATTGTGATGTCGATTCGGATTGGGATAGGTTGGATTGTTGTTACTCTTCAGGATATCAGCATTAGGAGCTGATGTAGGCAAAGCATGATCCCGTTCAAGATCAAACTCGTATTTGTTGTGATGAGATTTGATTTGTTGTTGATGTTGATCATTAATTTGACTGTCTTTCTCATAATATCTGTACGTGTGGTTGGCCGCATGATTGTTTTTTTTTGAATTGTGCCCGAGACGAAGTCGGAGAAAGAGAAGAAGAGAAAGAAAGAAAACAATGTGAGTATAGGTGATTCAAAAATTTATATTTTTTCTTCTTTGAATACATATATATGAAACAGGTTTTCAATGCTGATGGAACCTCAAACAACATTCATTTTATACCAACCATTTTATTTATCTCTAGTGCTGGCACTTTTTAGATTAATTTTAATGTTGAAAAACTTTTTAAGAACAATTTTTGCTTATAAAGTGGTTTAGCTTTCTATGTTCGCTTGTAATTTGAAAGAATACATTTTGAAATTGTTCATTGTGAAATATTTCGTATAAGATAAGGGAAATTTCAGCTCCGACTAAGAACCATTTTAACTTTCGGAATATTTTCATACGGTTTACCAAAATGAACTGTTCAAACTGACTTAAATTTTTATGAACGTATTTTTTATTTCAATGTTTCTATAACATATTAAAAAAATATCAGCTGTAAGCAATTCTTTATTAATTTAATTTATAGACAGTATCGTTCTGTTCTTAAATTAGCGCATCATGGACTCGAAAACCTTTATGTAACTTTACTTTATGAATGCTTTTTTTTTACAAACGTAACTTTGAAAGCGTTAACACTAATAAATTATATTTTTTCTGCTTTTCCGTTTATTTATTAATCTTCAATAAGCTGAAAAAGGCACTTCACTGAATTTCCAATGTGGATTTTTCATATTGCGTTTATGTGGCAAAAAAGGGATTAAGAGTTTGAGAGTGTGTAAGAGGGAAAGCAAATTTTATGTTGTGGTGAAAGCGGGTGGTTTACACTAAAAATCCTTTTCAAATGAGGATACGGTTTTCGCCTACAATCTCTATCTCTCTTGAATATTCCCTCGCCCTCATCGAGCTGTGAAAATAATACTGAAAGCACAGTTGGATGTCATTAGCCTTTGTAAAGTAGAATCTCTTGAATAAATGTATGTTAGGGTTGTCAATCACAACGTTTTATAAATTTAAAGTTTAGAAGTTTTCATCTTTTGCAGTCTATGGCTTGTCTGTCTTATTTAAACTATTAAATAAATTTTATCTTAACAGTTTGCAGACGTTGATATATTTATTATTGGATAAGCATGAATAATGTACCAGATAAGAAATAGAATGTCCAAAGACTGTTTTAAATTTTATATAAACCTTCAGTATTGTCACGTAAGCACGTAAAAGAAATATAGTTTTGTTGCAGTTCATGCAGAAAGTAGACAATTGTTTTTATTTTCTACTAGAGACGATGTAAGGAATTATTTTTGCCATCAAAAAGGTCGTGAAGGCCAAACTTTCTCGAAAATTTCTTTAAAATATTAGATTGGATTCTCTGTGAAATCGACTTAATAACGACGATATATTTGATGTCGAAAAGATAAATTGAGTACGCTCGGATAATCAAAGTCGACCGAGTTCAGTGGCGAACCTTGCATTTCGTGATCTTTCTCTATCTGAATAAAAAACTGGTTTAAAAATTGAAATTCACTTTGCTTTTAATTTTAATATTTTCAATATTCCTATTCAACAAACATCAAAAGAGCAATCAAAAATCAATTTTACATTCGATATTGATCTTTCCAAAAGAAATTGATTTGTTGCAATTTGACTGAAAGGTTGTTTATAGGGGAAAAAACACTTGATTAATAAAAAACTTGCTATTCATATCTGAATTTGCTACAAAAAAGAAACTAAAATAAAACTAAAAGTTTCTTAATGAATTCGAACTTTCATTTTATCAAATAATGAGGGCTAGAAAAGGGACGGAAAAGTTGCTTTGAATCTTTTTTACATATCGAAGACAAGTGAAAATTTTAAAATCAATGATGACTACCTACTCGAGCTAATCATGTAAATTAGGGTCACATGTAATTAAGCTACAAATGTTTTCTTAAAACAAAATAAAGTAGCAAAAAAAGTTTCTCTAATAAAAGGAATTGTTGATAGACAACAAAGTTCTTTTGTGCCTGCTTTTATGTCGTTTGCAATAATGACTCGAAGGCATGTTAATTGTCGCTTGTGTAGAATCTCACTTCTGGCATGATCATCATTGTTATTTTAGGCCTCATTTAAACATAAATTAGATAATCATTTCCTGTTTGCCGAGTTCAAATGAATTCAAAAGCAAAGGGCATTTCCTTGAACATGAATTCCTTTCACTAATGCCGATTCTCGGTAACTAAAAGTGATAGCCAGGTGTAACTGACCATCTCTCATGATTGCGTTTATTTCTTACTATTTTATTCTAGAGTCAATGTATAGAAATAAAAACAACCCCCTGTTGACATAAAAGCAATTTTTCTTTAACACATTGTAACAGACTTTCAATTCACTGGATAAATAAACGTTGTAGTCGTATAATCATGAACGCTTGGATGAATGTTTTCTAACAGCAATAAAGAAAAGTGTTTAAATGTAGACTGTAAGTCGAAGACTGATGTCCCATTAAACATTGATATTTCTTGCTGCTGCTGTTATCTTAACGAATATGAAACTTTTTAAAATCTATTTGAATGGTTTCAAATTTCTATAAACAATCTGAATTACTCATTCCTCTTTTTATTGGAATTTTCACGAGAAGGAATAAGAAGGAAAAAAAGGTTTAGACTCAATTTAAATATTGTTACAAGACATACATATTTTGTCGTTGTTTTGCTTGACCTTTGAAATATGAAACCGCTCGAAGTTGATTATTGAAATCAATCTCGATCCCTCCAAGATTTGAATAAATGATGAGACGATTTAAATGAAATAAAAAAATCAGCGACATACTCAAGGCGTTTTAAAATCATTCAGCACAAATATTATGAAACGTTGCGTTGGAAACTTATCATTAATTACAAGTTTCGTATTCTCTTCCTAGTTAGCTTTGTTTGTTTTAAGACTGTCTGAAATCTCTCAAATATTTGAATCAACATGAAAATACCGAGCCAAGCGAAGTAGAACAAAAACATCTCTATTTAAATTATTTTTTTTGAGCTCATGTTGAAAAGGCGAAGAAGAAGAAAACTTTGAACCACTAAAATTTAATGCTATTATTAAATCACGGAGCTTGATTCTCTAAGACTTATTTTAAACTGTTATAGTGAACAAAAGAATGAAGCAGTTTTTTGTGTTACTTCTATGCGAAGGGTAAATCAATTTGCACAAATTTTTCAATTGAAAGCTAATTGATTGATTGCTTTTCAACTGTATTTAATGCATTGGTGATCATTCAACTTAAATAGAAATCCATAGTCTTCGACGCACATATAAAGTCTGGCCTTGATTATTGTGCAAGTTTTTAAATCGAAGGAAGCGATAAATTTTTATGCTCAGTTCAGTTATTTCCACTGCATTAAATTTCTGTTATTTAATCCGCGTCTGAGTTATGTTTATCTCACAATGCAATAAAAATAGTCCTTAAAAATCACTCAAGCATGTTTTTATGTTTCAACAACAGTCCAGAAAAGCAGAGTACATTGAAAGAGAACGACAAAAGAGAGACAAAATTAAAGATAGAGGGTGACATCACAAATATAATATTTTCTCACACATTGTATCATTAATGTTCCGAATAAAAACTTAATAATAATAATAATAATCACTTGCAAAAGTTTTGCCATAATTTTTTATGTCCAGTTTATTAATTTCTTTCTTCTTTTTGCTGAGATTTTTATTCTCCCCTTTCAGTTTTTTTTGTTTTAATCTGAATAAGAAAGAAGATACATATCCACTGAAGTGCTGCACAACCAATAACAATTGTTTTTCAACTCTATTCTTTTCAAAATTTCATTCGTTTCATTTCTCTTTTTGTTAAGTGAAGGCACATTTAATCCATCCAAGTGAAATAAAAAAAAATGAATGTATAATTTCCATCGTTTCTGTTTCATATATAAATATTCTTGTGCTTCTTTATGACATCGAAGCATGGAATAAAAAGTTAAACACAACGAACGTACCGAAAAGTTGTTAACGAGGGTGTAGGCACGGTAGTTATACTCGGCACATAAACATTATCTATGATACTCCGTTTTGTTGTTGTCGTTGAAGCGTGATGTGCGACTTTAATAAATACCGCTTCTAACTCTTCTAAATTGTATCCATCAGTTGTTAGTGATGAAGAATCCACTAGTGCATTGGCAGCACAATTGCTTATACTAATCACACTTAATAATAAATATATCACTATATACACTTTGCTATTTACATATTTATTTTTATGTGATACTAGTAGGTGTGATAATTTCTTTTGCTTTAATTTCACTAGCAATTGTGTGCTGAATGATAACACATAATTTAGGAAGGATTTTAAACATGATTCGATACGAGATGAAAACATTATCAAAACTAGATTTTGATATATGTTTATATGTTGAGGGTATAATTTTTGTGATGATTTATTTTTCCTTTTTTTTCCTTTGTCACAAAAATACAATAGGTTGAGATTTATTCTTTAAACTTCAATTTTTTCCACATTTCCATTGGTTTTTCAAGGTTTTCATTTGAGATTTTCACATTTAAATGATTTCCTTTTTTCTCATTTTATTCCAATATGATTACATTATGATCCTCAATATTTTTTTCTTTTAGAAATTCGAACACAATTTACGATTTCTTTTTCATTTTGTGTATAAAGAAATAGGAGGAATTGAGTAAAAAAAAAATGGATTCCACTGATGAATTTTCTTTTTCAATTTTATGCCTTAAAATTCACTTTTTTCGCAAAAAATCCAACGGTAATCCATAGTGGGTGCGCTTATCTTGCGAATGAATGCATAACTAGCAATTAATTAACGTTTTTTATCACAAAATTAATTCGAATCACGACGAGAAAATTTTATTAGACGTTCAATGTTTCGTGGATCGCGTTCACTGAAGAAAAATCTTCACTCATGTGGTGGCGCTGCGGTAGTCGGGGAGGAAAGTTATATTTTTGTGTCACATATTTTTAAAAAATACATTTGATACAGTCACTACCAAGTTAATTTCAATTAACTTCTTCTCTTAGTAATATTCTCTTTAAAATTAGTTAGTTGAAAAGCAAAAGGACTTCCACAGAATGAGATAAATTAATTTTAAAACCTCAGACAAATTATAATTCTACTAACTGATCAAAGCGACCTCTCGATATTTTTCATAATTTCCTCCACTGAACATTTCTTCATCCACTTCATTCTCGTTCTTCATATACATTTAGAGTTGCCTTGAGTTGGACAATTATTTTAATATTGTTGTTAAACAGCACAACAACAACAAAAAAGGCAACATTTAGTATTTAATGCTATTTACTCAACGATTCCCATAAGCCTTATGAATATTATACGCAGCTTTGAGGGTTAAAATATTAATTATGCTTTACCGTCGTGTGTCATCGTTTCAAGAAGTTGATGATGAAACAATGAAAAAAAAAATCTGTCGGTCTTCAGGACAGTTGAAAAAAAAAGTTGCATTCTCAGCGCATGTGTCATTAATTGCACACAATATGAAATATCACATGCAATATCAAATCTCCATGTATAAATGTAGAAGAACACTGAAAATTATTGGTATAGTTTGCACATTTTGTCTGGTACCCGAATATGTAGTTAAAGGTGTGTTCATTATGAATTCATATAGTAATTAGATGAGATTCATCAACTCAGGCAATATAAATAAAAACGGAATGTAAATAAATTTAAACTTCCCGTAAAGCTTGTCTGTTCTTTTCGATAGATCGTTTACTATGTGCTTACATTTTATGACCATCAGGTATCAACTCATGTACAAGGAGAAAAAAACACAAGGAGAAAGAGAAAATAAGAATATATGTTTGATGGAATTATAATTATTTTTCATACTTCACATCAGAGTGGATTATTATGCTTGATAGATCGAAACTTCGTATTTTACAACAAAATGAAAGAAAAAATTTTAACATCTGCAACATTGATTGAAGTCTATTGAAAGACGACGACGATACATGTAAAAAAAGAGAAAAAAAACCTGTGGATTAACACATCTCGATTGGAGATTATCAGATCTAATGCGGCAGAAATGAATGAGTCAGAGGGAAAAAGGCTGAAAAGCATCAAGCTAACTAACAGAAATTAATACTCATATCCGCATTGAATAATCAAGGACGACTCTGAAAAGAAACAACAGAAATGTATTGAAACGTCATTATCGAGTGATTATCGATGGTAATTTATTGCCATTCCATTTTAAATCAATGAAACTTAGGGGTTAAGAACGGTTTACCCCCTTGCGCTTACTCATTCCTGCCATCATTTGAAAACAAACTTTTCACTCGACTCGCCTTGCTTGCTTTCCATTTAGGGAATAAAGAAAAAAATTGCTACCATTTGGGAAACTGCTTCGAACATTATATACAAGATTGCAATCGAATAAATTTCTTCTAACAACTTGATTTAATGCAATTGAGTGTGAAGCACCCTAGCATATCCTTTTTTCCGGGGCGATTGCTGTTTGTTTCCAGTAGTTTTTCTGCGACTCTATGTGTGTATGTATCTTATCGGAGTTATTGCATCAAATGGCAGCGATGAAAAAAAAATCAAAATTTATGAGCAGAGATGCCATAAAATTTCTGTTTGGTTGTTTAACAATTTTTTCTTTCGTTTTCTTCTTCAATGCTCAGCTAGCTGATGGCGAACAAATTTCCATCAAATCGTTATTTTATGAATTTCCTCTTCCATTCATCTGACGTTTTGGTGCTGAAAATCAAAATTTGACTATAGGTAGGTTTTAGCAATGAACGTAGATAGACTTTATAGAAAAAAGAGAGTGAAAAAATTGAATTTGATTGATCTTTTTGATGTTTTCATTGGCAATCATTATAGGTAAGCGAACAAAAATGTTTACTACCCGAAAAGTATTTATGAACATCGCGGTAAGGCATTTATTCATCATAAAATAAATTTCAATTTAAAATCAGTTATGCTGCTGCCTTGAATAACTCGCAAAACAATTTGTGGTAGAGTAAGAGATTAACATAGCATGAATGCTTTCAATATTGCACACACAGACTTTTGTTCACCTCATTTAATCATGCTGGGGGTGGTAAGGGTGAATATGAGTATAAAATTGTAGAACGAGACCTTTCATATCTCATGTAATTATTTTAAATACTATTTCAGAAATTTACTAACTAATTACAAATTTTTTAGGGCCTCGAGACTTTGCCCTCCTTTCAGCCTATTTTGTCTAAAAATAAAGATAAAACATAAATGATAAATAATATTGTTTTAATGGCTCTGACATAATAACTATTGTACTTATGAATTAGGGTGTGAGTGAATGTGGAAGAGAGAAATTAAGATATGGAATAATACTAATGTCTATGCAAATTTCAAGAATGATTTTCCATCGTCATTCATAAAACATAGAGCAGCAGTTGTGCTTTTTCGCTTTTTCGTGGGTGGAATGATTTGGTTAGAGGGAGAATTATCAGGGATGGAAGAAATGTAGATATGTATGTAGATAATTAGAAAAGAAAAGAAGAAAAAAATTGTTTTTTCGTCATTTATTATTCAAGTGACATTATGATGATTGAGCCAACAACAATTGGGTTTTGAATATTTGAATTCAATATTTCTATATATGATATTCTGTGGTTGATAATAATCTAACCACATTTGAATTTTCTTTGGAAAGATATCATCAAGCCCTGGATTAAAGCATTATCAAATACAACATCAAATAATTTTATTCAATGAAATGTATGTGAGGGAGTTGTACAGGGGACAAGGGAATTGAAATTTATGCACTTTTGAGGCCTTATCCCTTCATGTTTCAAGCTTCAAACTTCCTGTTTTAAGCTATTTCAAAATTTATGAAGGATTCCCATGGATTACAGGGAATTGACGACGCTCAATTTTCATAAATTAAAAGCTAAAGGCATTTTGTGACTTAAAAAATTTTCCCTTATATTTTCGTCGTCAATTTCTTTTTCCATATCAAAAAATTCCTAATCTCATTTGCTGAGAAGCCCGGGAGAAAATCTTCATTGTTTCAATAAAAGGCACCCTTTTTTTTCTTATGGTTTCTTTTAGTACAATCAGTCTAAAGCAACCGCGAAATTGTTTTCTTTTCTATTTTTATTAAAGTGAAATATCTCCTTTAAAAAATATTCTTTTAAACGACAAGAATTGATCGCATCGGTTTAGTTCTTATGTTCGAATGAAGGAAAATGAAATACAAATAAAACGGGCATTAAAATGAAATTTCTTCGCTGTTCAATCACTTGAGCTCTTAGTTAAACCTGTTTTTTTTTTCTCTTCTGCTTTTTAAAGCAGAATTCGAATATTCACAATTTCTCTTCCATCCATACGAAACAAGTATGTTACAAGAGTGAATGAAGAATGAAAGATGGAGTAAATGAAATCGTTGGTCATTTTCTGCAGTTCACACCAATACAGCGTGAAGTTGTTCTTGCTACGAGTGTTGGTAAGACAGCAACAAAACTTCCGGAAATGTGATATTTGGAAGATCAGTTACGCAAGGTCATCAATATGCTGGATGCTTCATTGAATGCACGAGCGAGCGTCAGCATGAAACATGATAAAATATTTAATTAATTTTCATTTGCTATCGTGTGAATCGTATTATGTTACCATATTATGGAAATGAAATCGAAGCAATATTAGAAAATGAAACGAAAGTAAATAAATAAGAACATGAGATGATGCACCTCTTTGATATGACTCGAGTTAGTTTGAAAACTGCTGTGGGTTGTTTACTGTTTCATGGTAATCAATAAACCTGGGAATTCAAGGGAATGAAATGCAAGAGCTAACAAGGAAATAATTTTATTGAATAGTTAAATTCATCATTCATCATCAACATGAAGTCGATGCTATAAAGCTAAAGATGTGTTTAGCCTAAGGAACTCATCAAAGTTTTTACTTTTAAATATCTAATTCCTCAACTGCGTTTTTGTCAAGCCATTGTAATTAATCATTCTTTTTTATCTTCTTCTTAACATAAATAAAAAAAACGAGGATAAACATGACGCAACGTTCATAAAAATAAATTTTTAAAATTTCTTCCAAAAATAAAATGTAATTAAGTATCGCAAACATAATAAATAAATTTATAGCCATAAAAAGTTTCATCTCGATATAGAAAATAAAACGAAAACAACCTACGGTAATTGAAGGAACACAAGCGAGAAGAATAAGATGAAAGCATGTCTCAGACAATTGGTAATGACTCGATGAATATATGACATTAATTTTAATAAGAATATACATGAACATANTATAATTCAATTTTTATGATTTATTGATTTTATTTCATTCGCTCTTTTGCGCCACAATTTGTCCTTCTATTCGTTGTGCTTTTATCGCGATGAGCGAGCTTAAAAAACAAAACATTATTAATGGATTTCGAGACTCTTAAAGTCAGAAACAGTTTTTTTTTCTCTTTGAATTCTTTTCCATTTTTTTCCCATGCATTGTCTAATTTTTTTTCCGAAATATATTTTTAATGCACAACGACAAATTAGACAAAAACTTTTTCAATGATTAGTATCCATAGAAAATGGTTAATCGATAACATTGGCATTTTAGGCCACAACAAAAAATATCCAACATTCCCAATGCATTCTGGAAATATGCCATCGTATTCTCCGCCTACGCGGTCTTTCTTCACACCTCCATTACCAAGAGAATACAATAATCCATTTGCTGATAAGCCAACTTTGCGCGGGACCAACAGCGAAGTTGGTATTATGGATACAGGGAACCCCATGAGTCGACGTCCCATACCGCCTCCAAGTATAACACCAGGTCATGAACGCGTACCATTGAGGCCTGATCTCTCTGAAAACCGGCCAGTTTCAATAAGCACTTCGCAAACATTAAATACAGATCTTCAGCAAAGTAATCAACCAAAAAAGGTTTTGAATACGCCGTCGCACAAAGTTAATAAGGTGGATTTAGGACATCCTTATGATACAAGCAACGGTAATCGTGCTTTGCTGAACTCTGAAAATCCATCAGACGTGTCGAAAATAATTCCAAGCATTTCACGAATCTTGTCAGGTTCGAATGGGAGACAAGAAGACATTCCTGACGTTCTTTTAAGAACGGTAACTGTTCGTCCAATTCCAGCTGTTGTGGAACAATCGACGAATGATCCCCAATCCGATAAAAATTCTCCTTCAAATAACTTACCCATTGAAAACGAAGATAACGACAAAACAAATACAGAAAACGAAGATAATAACGACGTGAAAGATTTAAATTCAAATCAAGACTCTGATGATGATACGAGTGATATTGACGATGACGATGAAGATGACTACGAGTCTGAATTACCAACGATATCACAATCAAACAGTATGAACACCAATAATAATAATAACAATGGTGATATGAAGAAAGAAGGCGAAACCATTTATTCGACTGAAAACATTCAAAATTTAGCAAATGTTAATCATGATCGTACGCTGTTCACATCCACAATTCAACCAGTACAGAATCCGATCAATCAAAACCCAATTTATGATATCAACACGAATAGCAAATTCAATGCAGAACAAAGTGAAGTGCAAACATGGACAATTGCATGGAACATTCATGTTTATCTCTCTGCTATTCTGTTTACCATCTTAGCAGTTTATTCAATTTTTAAAATGATGTTCTATGATAAACTTACGCATCTATTCAACCAATCGTACTTCATATGCATTCATTTGTTCCTGATTATCATCTGTTTAGCACGCATTTTCTATTTATGTTACGACGCATACAACATTCATCTCAGCTTTGATCCGTTTGTCTCAGAAGTGCTACTAAATCTGCCAGCAACATTTTTGACTGTTGCATTCGCAACATTAATTCTTTTCTTACTGATCCGAAGTTTGAATCATAAGAATAATCGATACTCACCACTCATGCGTCCATTAACAGTGTTAGTCGCTTGCAGTGTTCATGTTGGTCTCTGCATAACACTTCACTACGTTGAAAGTATTGCCAGCAAGAACTTCAGCTATACTTTGAGTCAGCAAGCAGCAAATGGTTTTGCTTCTTCAAATAAATATTACAACAACATAATTCGGGGACATTCTGGCCCACCACGACTGCTGTCACTCATCTGTCAAATAATCTATATATTTGTATGTCTCAGCTTGGGAATATTTTATCTTTACATTTACCGCATTCTGAAACGTGTATTACGCAACAAATCACAAAATTACATTCACGGGTACCAAAATCTTTCGTATGCCATTCACATAACTATTGCTATTGCTTTGCTTTTCGTATCACTTGCTGCACTTCAAATTTACGGTGCAATCAGCGTTTCATCGACAAAATCATTAACAACATATTCGATTGACATAAACTGGCCCCAGTGGGGCTACCAATTTTCACTTCGACTAATAGAGGTCACAATAATTGCCTTGTTGTCGTGGGTGACGGGACTTAAGACTGGAGCTTCAGACATGCAGCTGAATGCTATAAATATGGATAATGGCATCGTTCCTCCCCATGGTGCACGCGGTGGTCTCGACTTCCAATTGGTCAATCCTAATGGATTTAGTCGTACATATGAAACAAACAGCTTCCGATCTATCGGCGGTGTTGGAATTCACAGTAATCCTACTGACACGATTAAACATTATCCATTAAATCATCATCATCCACAGCCGCCCCCGCCACATTTGATAAATCACCAGCCTCAAATTAACGGTGAAAATGAGCGCGACTACTTTAGTAATGATAACAACAGCACTATTGTTCCAGATCATTACGAGAATCCAAATTTTGAATTGCGTTGTGATAACGTTAATGGTTTGACAACAAATGGAGTAACTAATGGAAGCAGCTCTGAGAGTAACAACCAGAATAATCTTGATGATTATTATTCTGAACCATTAAATGCCCAATCCCATCATCACCATCATCCGCCAACAACGACGCATCACAGTCATTATGATGCGCGATCTCAGGGTGGCCCATATGATTTTCAAAACTTTGAGCGGCCAACATTCGATCGATCGAGCTCACGCAATGAGTTTCGTGTTTCAAAGAACCTTAAAGCACTGAAAAGTGGAAGTGGTGTTAATTCAAATACACTTAATTACAATTATGGTGATAATACGTCAAATCATTCATCAGCATATGGTTTTACCACAGCAGCTGCTGGTGGAAATAACAATAATATAAATAATAGTAGTAATAATAGTAATTTCAATAATAATTCATTTGAGAGGCGTAGTGGCGTACGCAAGAGTGGTACATTAAACAATATTGGTGCTATACATCATTCACGTGGCGGTGGTGGCAACGAGCGCAATAACGGGATGGGAATAAATGGCGCTGGTGGATGCAATAGTTCATCATCGTCATCCAGTGGTATTGTGGTGGGTCACCATCGCTCGTCAGGCATTCAAACGCTCAATTCACGTTCCGCTCAACATTTACAACAGCAGCAACAACAGATGCTTCATCAGCCACAATATGAACGAGATTTTCAACGTAATACGTCTGGTCGTACGTCAAATAAAACCAAATTGATTGCTTCGAATGTACAACAACATTCACCGACCGCACAGCAGATGACGCCACAGCAAATACACCATCAGCCGCAACGCAGTGGAAGTAGTAATGTGATGGATCAATATCAGAGTAGTAGCGGTGATAGTGCGACAAGTGGCTCAATGCTTGTGGCTGAACACGGCTTTGTTAGGTTTCGTGAATTAAGTGATATTGGTATTAATGAATGTTAATTATTTTAATTTAATTACGTCCAATTCTTGTCTTACTTAAATGTCTTCAAATTTTATTTTTCTTATATTGCTGATTATTTTTCTGACGATAAAAAAATGTCAGTAAAAGAAAAAAACACAAAATGAAATTTAATGTATAGATTTTTATTCTTAATCGATAAACAAACATACAAAAGCTAAGCATTGAAAGAGCGTAAGGCTTGCGTGCGAGAATATAAGGATCTTTTTATGACGATGATTACGACAGAATGAGAATAAACTATAAATTACATTTTAGGGGATTTCAAAATGAAAGATGATTTTTTATGATTCTCATCTTTTCGCATGGCTAAGCACGACAGCGCTATGAAAAATGAGAGAAAAAATAAAATAATTTCCAAGTACATAATGGATTGTGAAAGAAAAATGAAAAATGCATGAGTGTAAATAGTTTTATACAGCTTTTGATGAAAGAAATTCCATCCCCTAAGGATGCGATATCGTTGTAAATGAATTAAGATGAATCAAAAAACAAAAATCCATTCAGAAGTGGAATAAAGTTACGATGATATGAGATCACAAACTAAAATCACTGACATGATGATGCACCTTCATCCGTTTGATGTTCATTTTTTGTACATGTTTGATCAAAGCTTGTGGTTGCAACTCTGGGTATATTAAATACCATATGCAATGCAATGCCTGGAGCTTGCAAACCATAACGGAAATTAAATTAATTTAATTATATTATAACAAATGACGATAGAACTGTAATTGAGTTAGTCTCACATCATCAAAAAACATAAATACAAAGAAATGTTTGGTTTTTTACTATAAAACTCATCAAATTAATGCGCATTCAAAACTTGATACTTAATCATTACAATGCTCGTTGAGACAAACTAATTAATCATTCTTCTTTATCTTTTATTCTTTACATTACAGTGAAGAAAATATGACACATTGTGTATAAAAATAAAATCTTTAAAAAATTTCTTCGAAAAATAAAATCTAATTAATTATCACAAGCATGATAAATAAATCAATAGAAATAAAAAGAATCTTCTCAGATTGACAAAGCAAATTTGATACAGAAAGCAAAAACGAATCTACGGTAATTGAAGAAACAAGAAGATGAAAGCATGTCTCAGACAATTGGTAATGACTCGATGAATATATGACATTAAATTTAACAAGAATATACATGAACATATTTTAATGCATAGATATTCAAATGGAATGAAAGTCACGAATTAAAAAACAATTTTCCCCAAGAAAAATAAGAAAAGAAAAAACGAAACAAAACCAAACCGAAAAGTCCGAAAAAAGTAACCAAAATTACTGATTAGAAACTTTTCTCAACTCTCTCGCTCACTCACTCGCTTGTTTGGTTTTCATTTTTAACGGGAAATGATCATTTTCTAAGGCAATAAAGAGTAAAAGCAACAAAAAAGAAAAAAATCAGCAGCACCAGAAGTAATTTGTTGATGTAGTAAAAGAACGAAGAAAGAAAACAACAGCAAACTACTCAGTACAGTTTCTTAATGGATTTTGAATTTTCTTGAATCGAGGTTATAAACATTTTTCATATAATTTTCTGCTACAAAAAAAACCTTTTCCAACAAAACACAACGAACGGCTTTAGCTTTTGCCATGTAGAATGAGAGAATTTAACACACAGCAACAACATCTTAACATTCAAGTCGAGCCAGGCCGGGCCAGGCATAGTAAACCGAAAACAACAAAAGCCACTCACACTTTATGGTATTGGATTAATTAATCAAATTATGGACTTCACATTATTCCTTCGCAGCTCTCTCGCATTTCTTTCTCAACTTTTTCTTCATATTTTCGAGACTGCTCCAAAGAATTCTTTTTCCTTATGATGTTTGCTGTGCTCGCACCGTAGGCAGCATGAAATTTTTAATAAAAATATGAATTTATTTAACGTCGTTTCGGTCTTTGGTGTGATGCTGTTGAACTTTAAGCTGACCGCGAAACGATTCTCTAAACTGCTGCCACAATATTGTCACACTTTCATCATCATTTTTTTATTTTTATCGCAGACTTTATCGGCTACTTACAAGCGAAATTATTTATTAAATCCAACTGTAAATTTATGAGAAAAGTAATTAAGAAGACTCTGGAGAGAAATTCTCATCATAATTTATGTCAATGCAAAGTTTATGAAATTCTGAAATTGTTAAATTTATAATTAGCAACCTCCACTTTCCACTCTCACCACCTAAATGTGATTGTTGACAGTTTTGTTGACATGTTAATATTATTGATCTGTCGATCCGTGTTTTAATTCACGAGAAAGCTTCAAAATACCATCACCAACAACAACAGCAAACAAACAAAAGTTTCATAAATAAATTAAATGAAAAATGAACGAGACACAGCATTCTCATATTTCAGTCGTCAAAAATAATCATTGAAACTTCTTTTTTATTTTAAATAAATATTTAAGCAAGTAAAGAAAAATCGAAACTGATGAAATAAAGCAAAATTGTATAAATTAATAGATAATGAAAAGATGGACAAGAGAAAAGTCCTAGCAATTAGTTGTAATGTGCATGTATTGACGATGATGATGGTGAACATGACGAGAATGATGACACGACGCGTTTTTGTAATGACTAGCAGCTATTTGATGACTTCAATCTAATTAATCATAGGAGAATTTCTCAAGGACGCACAAGTTGCGTTCAATGAGAAGGAAGAACGAGTTTTAATTTTTGTAATTATTTAACAAAATCAAGATATGAAGAAGCATTTAAATATATTTAGAGTAGAATACGAAAATTTTGACGCCAAACTTAAATTGGAATTTTGTTCGTCTCCGTTTTGTTCTTCACGAAGGTAAAAATGAAGAAAATTTCAATTAGTCAGAAAGCTGAAATTTGCATTCGAAACATTTATTCCGACACAGGCGTTGTCGTTCGTTCGTTCGTTCGGTCGCTCGCGAGAGTTTATGTTTTGATAAATTAATATCGTTTCTCGTCTTGTTTTCTGTTCATTTTGTTCAAATCAGAAAGGAAAAATTGTCAACAACAAAAGAAACTGCACGCGAGTGGATAATTTAAATGCCACGAATCTTTGTGTCGCTTTTATGTGCGAAATGATGCAAGTTCTCTGAGTTTTCCTTCTTGAACCTTAGGCAAATGCCCTTGGCAACGCAACTTTCATATTCATATTCATGTTCATGTAAAATATTTCAATTTTAATTATGTTCATAGAAAAACCACAAAAATAATTTTTAATTTTGCATTAGAACCAACATGAAAAATTAATTAACAAGAAACAAAGAGAAAATGATATGAAAAACTGTGTATAAATGAAATAAAAATTGAAAAATTTTAATTGCAATGATTTTTCCACTTTGCTGCTTTTCTCTTTTTCAGCTAAACAAGTAAAACTTTTCGTTTTCATTTTCAGCCCTCGAAGCGAAACAATATTTGATTTTTCAGAAAGCTTTTTGGGAATTGAATCTCTCCTTGTTGCTTATGGCGGGCTGGCTGGCTGGCTGACTGAGAGTGGAAACGACATTTCTCTACTGTTGTTCTGCTTTAATAATTTAATTTGAAGTCCCCAACGATTTTCGGAAACACCACACTCCCACGCAATCATCCATAAGCTGTTATTATCATGATAAATCCCAATTACCTAATGCCACATTTTTAGACTTCTTTCATTGCTTTCAGTGTGGCCGTCGTCCATGATAATTCAAGTCTGCCACCTTCTACATTTCTGAATGCTTTTGCCACAGATTTTTTTCACACTTTGAACGCCAAGTCCAGGGACTCGCAGACTACTCGTACACAATATAGAAAAAACTAACAACCATGCGACATTAACAAACCTCGAAGCAAGAGAAGAGAAGCGAAAAAAAGTTCATGATTTAAATTAATTAATCTTGTTCGTTTTTGCCATAATTCACCGTGGAAATTTTTCGTAGCAGCACAGAGAAAAAAATATTACAATTCATCACTGTTTCAGGGTTGAAAGCATATCAAAAGAGGATTTCAAAAGCACCTGAATAGAATGAAAAATATGCTATGGCTTTGTAAGTTAGTATCACGACAAGCTCTTACTTATCCACCCTGATTAATAAAACTAGGAGAAAGTTTTCGCTTTTTCCATTCATTCTTCGAGAGCTCTTTTTTAGCATTCATTACTTCATATCCTAATTAATGGATTTGCAAACACACTTGACATTACAGCCATTCTTCAAAAAGCATTTGAGTTTGCTGACGCTTTTTCCAGTCGAGCATGGAGAAGAAGTTAGAAGGGGGGATTAAAGTTTGAATTTCCATTGTACAATCGCTTCCATCTCATCATGAAATGCGAGCAAGTCACAACGAAATCAGCACAATTTTCATTCTGTAGATTCATGTTCAAGTGGCTCTTTTTTTTCGAAGAAGCTCTCAGCACTTCTTCAACGGCATGATTTTCCCATTTTCATTTACGCCTTCATTCTTCATGCTCACAATCGTCTATGGTGCAATTTTGAGAATCGATTTTCAACAAGCACAAAACATTATTTAAATTAGCAGACGGGAAGAAAAGGAACGTCTGAATAAACACTTTTCTTGCTTCCGTCTCTGAAATGTTTCGACGAGTGTTTGAACATAGGAAAATTGAAATTAGATTGCGCTATCTAAATCTTTCCATAAAAAGCAGAAAACAAACTCTGCCACTTGAGTAAATGTGATCTCAATTCTCTCTCTTTCACTAAGAGCAAGAAGAAACTCATCGATCGAAGACATTGGGCTCATATTCAACTTCAACTTTTCTTCTTTAAAAAAATTTAAAAAAATAATACTTTCAGTCATTGAAGTCTTCAAGGCGCCGTGAAAAGCAGAAATAGTCAACATCAATGGTAAGTTTACTCAAGATACTCTACATCAAATTTATCAACCTTCTTATCTTTCTCTTATCACAACATTCGCTCCTTGAAATCAAATTATTCCAGTTGAAACACACAACAGCATAAGAAAGCTTTCATAACCTTTTCCAGTATTGATTCATGACGCTCATAAAAACAGTTTCAAGCATTGCCTAATCTAATTAATTTTCCTTCTCTCTTGCTGCTGTTGAGTGCTTTTAAGCTTCGAGCTCTTTGTTATCGTAACAGTCAACACACCTTGTATTTCGCGAAACCTAAAAGTCATTCGCTACGCTCTCAAAAATTTAAATTTCTCACAACATTTTCTTATTTCTTTATATTCAAAAGCCACCGTCAAACGAAGAAAGAAGTCAGCTTAAAAATTTTGTTAATCGCTCTGCCTACGATTGCTGAAAAAAAAGGTCTTTTAGTGGAGTGAAATATACAACTATGAGAAATCTAATGGCCTCATTTATAAGCTTATTTCAACCGACAAAAAATGTGTCCATAAATTTTTATTCATTCTTCATGGGAGAAGAATAGAATTCTGAAAAAGATGTTAATAGCAGCATGTTAGAACTTTCTGATAGCTGAAAAGTTATCACCAAAAGAGCCTCCTATGTTTCTCAAGCAATTGATGAAAAAAAACAGAAAGAAAACGAATAAACATAAATGAAACTTTATGACAAGGCCTTAGAAGAAACGGAAAACTCCCTATTGTTAAGTTTATTCAGTAAATGCTTACCAAGTGGAAGACGAGAAGCCGCGAAAACTTGAAGCAGTCTTTGCTTCCCTCTCAGGCGGCAGAAAAAATGTTTTTAAAACAATTTTCCAACTTCCCTCCCATCCATCCGTGAATCTTATGAAGTTGTAAAATAGACATAAAGAAAAGAATAAATTGCGCGTTCTCCCTTTTTGCTCCGTTCTTTTCGCCTCTCAATGACAATTTAAACAACCCGTAAAAACAAGACTTTTGACAATTTTCGCGAAAGATTAATATGCGCGGCAAGGTCTTATCATTTTGTCGAATGTTGAAAGCGTGGGTGGATGTCGCGAAGAGACATGAAGCACACGTATTATTTCGCACAAATACACAAACACAAAAACTTTATTTTTCTTCTATTTTGCACATACAGCTTGTCACTGTCACGATGAAATGTAGCAAAACGGCATGGAAATCTATTTCTTTTTTCCTCGAATGAAAGGGCGCGAGTTTAAGACAGATTAAACAGCGTGCGATGAATTTCTTTATGATAATTATTTTTGCTCTGACTCTTCGCTTTATTTTTCACTTTCACTAGCTATTCGTGGGAGCTGTCGTCTTAAAATTCTCTGACTTTAACCTAATACTAATTCAAAATTTTTTATGTTCGCGTAATCTTAAGTTATTATAAATTCATCTACCGAACGAGTCTTCAAGCATTTTCACAGACATGACAAAGCATTTCAGGCAGACAAAGGCAGTCAGGTTTGGTCGTAAAACCGTTCATTCCAATTTCAAAATTCACCGGAAATGAAATCGTAGATTAAACTTCTTATACATTGAAGTTAAAACGAAGAGAAGAAGTTCTGAATGGAAAAGTTTAACGTAAACCTCTCTCCCTGACTTGAGTTTTTCTAACGCAATTTAATATTCAAAAAGTTGTTTCCCGACAACCAAAAGTTGTGAAGTAGAGAAAGTAATAAAAATCAACCAGTAATTTTGCTACTTTTGTGCTCTGGCTCCGAAATACGCTTTTGTTATGCTAATTAAGAATTATTTCACCCTCATCTACAGATTATCCCAATTATATTTTATGAAACGACGTTTAACGATGGGCATAAAAGTCTCGTATATTTATTTAAAATGTATCGCAGAAGATTTAGAAATCTTTGAGAGCATTTTCAGCTTGTAGACTTCTAAATATTTTTTATTGCGACGTTTTTTAAGTCAAAAAGTAAATACATTTTCTACATATTTTTTCATTTCTTTCTAATTTCACTCGCTGTCAAAAAATGAATCTCTGAATGTTTCAATTTTCAGCTGCGAAGACATTCGAAATGATTTCATGTCCCGATGCCAGATGTGATTCATAAATGCCCGAGACGAGGTTTCAGGCTTGAATGAAATATTTCTTTTATACTTTTCAGGGGGGCGTCAAGTGTGAACTGCAAACATCTTTCAAAGACAACAGCAAGAAGAGGAAAAAACTAGAAATGTTGCTTAAGAAACCTTCAAATTAAAATAAATTATTGAGTCAGTCGGTGCGACGAATGTTGAACATGTCAAGTTCTCTCAAATCTTTTCTCAATCAACCAAACATTTATTCAGCTTTGTTATGACTTTCAGCGGTTAANGCGGGCTGGCTGGCTGACTGGCTGGCTGACTGAGAGTGGAAACGACATTTCTCTACTGTTGTTCTGCTTTAATAATTTAATTTGAAGTCCCCAACGATTTTCGGAAACACCACACTCCCACGCAATCATCCATAAGCTGTTATTATCATGATAAATCCCAATTACCTAATGCCACATTTTTAGACTTCTTTCATTGCTTTCAGTGACCGTCGTCCATGATAATTCAAGTCTGCCACCTTCTACATTTCTGAATGCTTTTGCCACAGATTTTTTTCACACTTTGAACGCCAAGTCCAGGGACTCGCAGACTACTCGTACACAATATAGAAAAAAATAACAACCATGCGACATTAACAAACCTCGAAGCAAGAGAAGAGAAGCGAAAAAAAGTTCATGATTTAAATTAATTAATCTTGTTCGTTTTTGCCATAATTCACCGTGGAAATTTTTCGTAGCAGCACAGAGAAAAAAATATTACAATTCATCACTGTTTCAGGGTTGAAATCATTTTTGGAAACTAAGAGAAGAGAAAAGGGTGGAAAATTTCATGTCACTTGGGAAGTGAAGCAAAACTCGCACAAAGTGAAATAATCAAAAGTATTTAATGAAGAACGGAAATATGAAAAACTTCAAGTAAATTCAATGAAAAGAAAATGAAAGAATAAGCTCGAAAATGGTAAAGTTTCCGTGTTATTAATTTTATTTGTAGTGTAATTCATAATTTACACTTTCAAAGCGATAAAGTTTCTCTACACTCGAGTCAACCCTTTTGCTATTTCTGATTGCATTTCCATGCCACAAACTTCACATTTTCTTTTACTTTTAGACAAGAAAAAGCAACTTACTGCTACACTTAATCCCAATCAACGTCATCTAGTTGAAATAGTTTCTATCTTGGCAATGTTTCTGAGTCTAACGGAGAGCAAAAAAAAAGAGATAAAGAAAGTTTGTGTCGCTGCACACAAATTATTTTGACTTTTTGGAGAAAGAAAAGTCGTTGAAAAAGCAACGAATTTTCCTTTTTCTTAAGGTCTAAGTAAGAGAAGACTCACTGTATGTCTCAGAAGAAAAAAAAATCAGTGAATGTCTCTCGAGTCTGGTTCAACATAATTCTTTCCTTATAATATCACTTCTCCTTGATGTGCGTTCGCCATTCGTTGTCCCACTTTTTATTCCTCCTTTTTACAATCCAATCTATGCATCATTATCATATAGCAGCCGATTATGTGAATAGAAGTTAATATTCAGATTTAGTAGACTGTAAACAGATTTCTGTCGTTTCTTGTCGAAACTTTAGTGCAGTGAAGAAGGAAAAATCGAATGAAAGGAAGGAAAAAAACTCCTTCAGCAATCATAAAAAGTTGATAAGATTTTTCTTTCCATTCGTTATTCATAGTGAAGAAAAAAAAGGAAAGAGGAAAAAAATTATGATGGAATTTCGTGTAATTCCCTCGTGAGTCGTGTTTGTTGCACAACAAGCACGCGATGAGAAGAATGAAGACAAGAATGATAGCAGAGCAAAATATTTACAACGAGCTTATTGCGAGATGATTTAAATGATGAAATATAGAAAGCGCAAGAGAAGTAAGTATTTAAGTAAGAAGAAGGCTAAGAAGGAAAAGTTTTCAACTCGCTGGGCTGACAAACACATAAAAGAGTGAAGGGAAAAAGGAATCTAATGATCCCATTTATTTAAATTTGCACCCCCGCATGAGAAATAGAATAGAAACTGGGATGAAAATATGCGCTGCCTCATAAATTTACATTTACAACATTATGATGAAAAACCATGCTGTTTGTACGCTAGCTGAATTTATGGATGAATGACACAGAGTGGAAGAAGGGGAAAGTGTTTTTGTTGTAGCAGATGATTGTGAGTTTGGAAACAATAGTTAATTCAGTAAAGCTAAGCTATGTAAAGTTACAAGTTGTTTTTAAAGATGTTCTTAATAGTTTTTTTAGCGTTAAAGAAAATTTATTCGTTGCAATAAAAAAATCTTCATGAATTCAGAGAAGCAGATAAATTTCACAGATTTTTACCTTCAAACCGAATCACATAATCTTTGATGTATTTCATAATCCCACCAATAAATTCCGAACTATATTTATCTGCAATCTCTGTCCATTCTGCTCTGTGATCTGAGAAAATTGTAAAAACTTTTATACATGCACATGTAGTGAAAAAAGAGTTTTATAAAATTTCTGCGATTCTCTCTTCTTTCCATGAGTCTAGCGCCCTGAATAAAGAGAAAGAACTAAAGCATAATGCACGTAGTGTCATTTACAGCAAAAAACTCTGTTGAAGCTGAATTTAATCTGTGCATATTCTCGACATGTAGATAGATCTTCTAGTAGCGGACTTTTTTTTCCTTCTTTCTTTCATTTCGCTAAAACAATAAAATTTCTGTTTTTGAAACGTTTCTCGTTGAACACTCGAACAGAGAATTCGAAGCTGTTGAGCTCAGCGTAAAAAAATTCTGCACGACCCAAAACGTACACAATTTACACTTTAAAATCCCTCCATTTGGCTTTAATGAAAATGGTACCGTAATAAATTAAGTGCCAGAGCGCTAAGAAATGCGCGCAGTTAAAATAAGAAAATAAATGAAAAGAAATTCTTGAGCTGTTTGTTTTCTTCTTATTGTGCTATTTGCCCGCGAGACGAGAGATGCAAAACAGTCGAGGCTTAAAATTGAATGTCTTAAGAAAATGAGCGAAAACGAATTGAACGAAAATTAGTTTAAGAAGGTGTGCGTCTTCATGAAACAAAAGAGCACTAAAAGTTGTGGCTTTTCTTAAAAAAAGCTTTTTTTTTCTTTCTTTTAACTCTGAACCAAGCCTCGCAACACGAATTGCCCGAGGGGGCATTTATACAAGCACCATTAGTAGTGCTGCTCCGAATTCTAGACTCGCTGTCTGCTACTCATCATTAAAAGGTCTTCATGGGAGATCGCAATCGTTTAAAAATTAAGAACGGGACTTGGGGGGATAGTTCGTAGTGTTTAAAGGGAAAGGCAGCAGGGCGTTAATTGTTATGTATCTGATTTTCATGTTGCGATGACATCAGCTAGTGGAATCATCGAAAAAGCTTTTCTTTCTCTTTCCTTTCCTTTCCTTTCTTATTTATTTCAAATCATTAACCTCGAAATAGTTTCTTTCCTTCATCTTCCTTCGCTTTGCAAATAAACATGCAAATATATCGTTTAAAAATTATCCACAAATGAATACGAAGCGATAGAGAAAGAGAAAGAAAATAAAAGAATATAAAATTGCAAAAGAGATTTTAATATCAGCGCGCTGGGCAAAAATGCATTTTCAAAGAACAAATAAAATAATTCCCTATAGTTTATTTTATTTCTTTTCATTTACTTGCTTTTTATGTGCTTTTTCTTCTTTCCTTATTCCTTCATCTCTCGACATCGTTGTTTCTGTTCTGTGTTCAAGTCGGATATTTAAGGTAAAAAGGAATTGGTATCTTATTTTTTTTTGTTTACAGAGCATGTAGCAAAGAAGCGAATTGAATAAAATATAGCATATCTGTACGAGTGTTTAATCCAATGTTTAAAAGGGAAGAATCATTCAGTGATGTAGTGTTAAACATATCAAGTGTCTTTATAATGTTTAGGATGTAAAGATTTATGTTTTGTACTAAGAATTTAGGTCAAACACTCAAATATCATTTATGAAATCAACCGTGACTGTAAAAACCCGACTTTAAAACCTCATTCCATCTTTTGTAGATTTTCCATATAATATGTCCAAAGAAAATCGAGTCGAATGAACATACAGCAACGTCCCGAGTATCGCAAATATAAAAACTCATTGTTAAGGCATAGAATGTAGGTAAATAGCGAAAGCAGTTGAATAAAGTCTCATTCAAAATTATCCGTCGAAGCTTGAAAAAAAAACAAACGAACGGCAAACTTTGAGAGACTTTTCCTACGTAAACGAATGTCTTCATTTTTTTATTTCAGCAGAGAAAAACTGAATTCTTCATTTCGAAACATAACAAAGAAACTCGAAATGAGAAATTTTTCTTTCCAAACCAGATGTGTCTCATAAATGGATGAGACGAGTTTTAGAAACAAGAGCGGATAGAAATATTTCGTTAATTTTTTGTTTTGTTTTCTTACTCGGGGGCGTAAAGTGTGAACTGCAAACATCTTTCAAAGACAACAGCAAGAAGAGGAAAAAACTAGAAATGTTGCTTAAGAAACCTTCAAATTAAAATAAATTATTGAGTCAGTCTGTGCGACGAATGTTGAACATGTCAAGTTCTCTCAAATCTTTTCTCAATCAACCAAACATTTATTCTGCTTTGTTATGACTTTCAGCGGTTAATCTCATGATTAGTAAATTAATGTAATCGTCAGGTATCATCTGAATATTGTGTAACTAATTCGTGATCAATTTTTCACGAGAGATGTAATCGCAATAAATCCGATCATTGGAGATTAATGGAGGTCACAATGTTATCGAGATCATCTGCTTCTTACGCCCGTTACTGATGAATGATTTCAAAGAAAGGAGATTATGAAAGGCATCAGAGAACAAAAAGGCGATGATGATGATGATGACGACAATGAGTGTTTCTTTCATTTCATTCCGTCGTTGCCAGGTAAATTCTTCCCTCCAATGCATGCACCGGTTGCTGTGTGTTTGTTCTCGCATGTGTGTTTGAGTTTCGGCTTACAAAATTCATTTGAACCTTCTTGGGTTTCTTTCTATCATTCGTTGCCTAATGTCGTTTTTTTCCTTCTACCATTGAACCATTTCATTTGAAATGTTTTTATCTGCCTATTTAGGTACGTAGGAAAAGTACGACAAAGAGAGAATTCTTTGATATCAAGGTAAGAATGCTCCACATGCATGTGCTTCATCGACTCGATGGATATTTTGTTGATTATTTGCTGCCGTTTTATTTTCCATTCTCCATTCTTGATTCTCAGCTCACAAGAAACTATTTCCAGTTCCATTTCGTTATTCAACTTTTTTCATCTCTTCTCCTTTCTTTCCTTCTTCTCATCTACCAGTTCATGAAAAGAATTGAAATAAAGTTAAACTGATAAAAAGCAATAAAAGAAGTTTTTTATTTTTTGTTCTGTTGTGCTTCGAAGAAGAAATATTCATCGCATTTTGCTTCACATTTGGTTCTTTCTTTCTTTTTCTGCGCTCAACAACGTAAACATGTTCCAAAAGAGAGACAGAGACATCGACGATGGACGAAGGTAAGAAATCGAAGGCAAGAAAGAAACTCTCGAGAGCTTATGAAGACTATCATTCTCAGTACAACAGCAGCGGCAAGTATCAAATTCAACGAGGAAATAGACAATAACAGAATTTCTTTGCAACACGAAAAATATTTCGTGGGGATATTCTGACAATCACGTAACAGGTTAGTGGCGCATATTTTCTATTGAATTAAATAAAATCGACACTTCCATTGAACTCATCCCAGTTTAACAAATTTCTTGAGAGCGAATGTAAGAAGGTTAAGAACAAAGTGAAAACGAAAAAAACATCAGGAAAACATCGTTTAATGCTTTTATTTCTCTTCTTTTATTGTTCTTCCACACAGTTCATTATTATTAGTGATTTTTGTGTGTAAAATGTTCCTTTAAATTCCTATAATTTCAAGACAAGTCTTGGGTCTGCTGCTATGTATTTAAAAGAAAAGCGAGTGTCCCGAATCTTGCACATTCTTAATGCGAAAGTATATGAAACGAGTGTTTGGTGGGTCAATCGAGTTATTGGATGAACTTTTAAACCTGGTTCCACTTGGACGATGTCTCAGAAACAAAGACGAGTCTAAATATTGAATTAAAAAGATTTAAAAGACCTCGACAGATATAAAGAATTGAAGAATTTACACGAGGAGACATTTTTCTGCCTGCAACAACGGCACAAGAAACAACAAGAAGAAGAAGACGCCTAAAAATCCCATCATGATGATTTATGGCCTCGAGAAGAAATGATTGTAAGAGCTGTAAAAAGGAAGTTCGGTAACACTTCTCACTAAGTGAAGAAAATGTTTCGGAAAGACACAAAAATAATTTCTCAAAGAGAAAAACCTTCTCTGGCGATCCTCAAATGGAGACGAAAAAACCATAAAACATGAAAACGTCTCGTAATATGTTTTTTCTTTCTTTTTTTGTTTCATTTCATTTACAATTTACTTGTTCCGTGGTGCATGATTGTGATGATGAAAAACATTTTGAAATGCAGAAATGAAAAAACGAAAATCAAAAAGCATCAAGCGCAGAGCCCCAGAACGGATCATTAATTAACAACTCAAAAATGTAAAAATCTGAGCGATGTCGGTGACATCACGAGTCAGCAGCATGTAAATAGCGGCTTTTGCCTTCAATTCCAGTCACTCGATCTTAGACCCGCTTCTGTCTAGTTCCATTGCATTAAACACAAATTAATGCGACTTTCCAAATGAAACTTCTTCGTCTTCTTCTTCTTGTTAGATTGCACCAGCAGATCTCATTTGGCGCTGCTTCAGAATTTTCCATTTCTCTTCTTCTCTCGTTTTCTTCGTGATTAATTCTCGTGCAACAAATTAATTTTAAGTGGAATTTCTTTGACGTGCATTTGTGAAGTGGAAAAAGCGACGAACAACAAAACGAAAAAAAAACAAAATAAAAACAAAATTAAGAAAGAAATGGGAAATGTCTCATGGTTTTGATAACAAAATGAAATGTGAGGCAAATGAAATGTGAGGCAAATGAAGGCAGAAATGAAGTCAAAGCATGTGTAGGAGTGAGATGGACGACCAAAACGATGAAGATTGCTGACATACTGTTGGATCCCTTGACAAATTCCTTTCTAGATAATTTTTGTTTTTAAGTTACAATTTAAATAAATATTTATTTTATCGCCGAAAAGAAGTCGAGTGAAGAGATAAACAAACATGAACTTGAAGTTGAATTTGAAAGAGAGACGACTGTGATGACCAAAACTAAAAGCTATCGATAAACGAGTCCAAATGAAACCGAAAAAATGCCGTAAAATTGAATTTAAAATCGAAAATTAATTCAAGCGATGTGCAGTAATTATTTTTATGTCTTCTTCTGTTCATGGTCACAGTAGATAGTGCAACCAGCTCAAATACTCTTTCCAAATTCTTTCAACATTTTCGGGTTGGTAAATTATTTTTTCATTTCGTTAAAATTCTCATGAAATTTGTTCCGAAACGAAACTGAAAATTGAGAATCCAAATTATTTATTTTTTTTTCGTTATTTACAATTTGTGGTTTAGTTTTCTCACCGCACCACACAAAAACCGATATCAAAAAATGTTACAAAGCAGTGAGAGCGAGTTCGAGTGAACAGATGAAATATAATGCACAAGGCAAACATTCAAATATCACAATCATTAACATGAGATTATTTGTAAGTTCTGTAACATGACCCTGAGGAGAACTTAACATAAGTCAGAACATGCTTTGTTCAACATTAATTCATCTAATGAACAAACCCTGAAAACCTACTGAAAGCTGAATGCCCAACCACAGAAAAAAAGGCACAAAATATGATGATTCATTTTATTGATTCGAGTGAAACGTTTTTTTTCCTCTGTTATTCTTTTATTATTTTTCCAGTTTTTTTTCTTCATCTAAACTTAGGTTCATGTTTGAATGAATAAATAATGTAATTAATGGCAATTTAAAAACGGAATTTTCACACATATTTCTCTCTTCGTCGACCCGTAATTTGCCTTCAGATGTTTGATATTGCTCAATCGAACCGTCGAGTGATTTTTTTCTTCTCTTCTGGTGTTTCGAAATTTAAATTTTACAACATTATGGCTTTTAATTTTTCATTCTCTGCTCATTTTTGTAACAGAAAAGAAGTATTTATTGGGAATTTATTGAGTCAGAAAGAGCGCCGCATGCAACAATGTTCAGTTTATTGGCATTTAAAGCACTTTATGCATTCTCAATATGGCTATTAGTGCTTGATAGCTTTGAATAAAATTATAATTGTTTGGAAATGATGGCAGTTATTCATGTCGTTTGATTGACAATTGAGAAAAGTAATACTATTTTTAAAAATATCTTATCTCATTGACAACGTTATTGTTTCAACTTGTGTTATAAGAAATAGTTTCTATAAATATTTGAGATTATATTCATTGAATTTTCAACATGAATATTTACTTAAGGTATTCCAGCACAACTGTTTCAATTAAACTTTCCAGGTCAAATCTCAATATGCTGTTGTTGCTATGAATTTTAGCGAATCCCAATTGAATCATTAACGAGCTTTAAAGTCAATAAATCTGTCGATATCTTAACCAAGTTTTATTAGATATGATTTGATTCACAAAATATCATTTCAATAGAAACCACACGACTAGATTTCTAAATGTTGTTTTACCAAATAAAAAGAAGTTTCTAATTTCACGTTGCGGTATTGATGTAGCTGATAAGATAAAATCAGTTTTTATCAGCGCACCAACATTCGACACTGAACAAAGTGATCACCCAAATATTTTTGTTTTGTCAGTTTAGATATATTCATTGTGAACTTAGCATTGTAATTCCATGGATTCTTCAACTTAAAATATATTCAAACGTTCAATATTGTTAACAAGAACGATGCGAAAGTATTTCCTTTATATTTCTTTATGGTGTTTTCTTACTTTAATCATACTTTCGTCTTTCGTAAACTTCTCATTCAATATTTACAATATCGTCATTCTTGGAAACGAGAAGAGTAATTCCAGTTGGCTTAGTAATGTTAACTATTTGTCATCACGTCTTTATCCAGACGTTCAATCTGCACTGCTTCTACCGAATGATATTTACGCTTTTCCACAGCGAGATGAAATTGCTTGCTTTGTTATGTCTGCGCCAAAGAACAGACTTGCACGCAATGCAATTCGAAGAACGTGGGGGAGAAAGATAAGACCACTGTTTGTTATTGGTAAAAGTGATAACAAAACTTACAGTCGTGTACTAACTGAAGCGAATGCTTACGATGACATAATTGTCGAAGATTTCATCGACTCATTTAATAATCTTACCATCAAGACAGCATTCGCAATGAAGCATTTTGTCATGCATTTCAATCATTCCATATATTTTTTTAAAGTCGATGACGACGTTCTGGTACACTTGAGTAATCTTTATAAATTTCTGAATGATGAAAATCTCCCAGAGAATGCAATAATCGGTCGATTTGAAATGTCAAAAACGAAATACCTCAGAAAAAGGAGTGAATTCATCTTTCAGCAATATCAAAATTCTTATGAAATTCAGCCAGATTTCATTGATGAACCAGCATACTTGATACCCGGTAAATTCAAAGTGAAGTTTTAAAAATTACCTGCAAAAATATTTTTTGTTGTTCTCGTAGGTCATATGGTTGAGAAAGTTTACATGACGCTAATCAATTTCCCATTATTCACACTCGAGGATGTAATTCTCAGGATAAAAATGACGCAGACGCTAAACTACAATTTACACAGCAATAAAAAATTCCAGACAAGGCATTTCCTTCCCTTTAGCATCCCATGTTCACACGAGTTAGTTTTATTAAATTCAACCAACCTCGCAATGAATTTGGTGAAGTTTATTTTATTGCTTTATGTTCTTTCTTTTCAGGCATTTCATCACTATTCATTCAATAAAAGCGAGTGATATGATAATTCGTTGGGAAAGACTCCGTAAACCGTACAGCTGTAATTTGTTTGATAAGTTTATGGCTTATTTGGTCTGAAAATTTGATTTGCATTTATGATTGTCAAGGGTCATAAATTATGTGATGATAAAAGTTGATTAAAGCTTCATTGCTTTTATCAATTGATTTCCAATGATAGCTTATATTGCTTAGAGATCTTAATTTCAAACTTGAATACATGTCGAAATAAACTTTATTTACGCATTTTAATATGCGCTGCGCAGTAAATGTATGATTTTTACTTGTAGTTAGCAAAAGCAGATAAGATTACTTTTGTCAATTTTTGTGAACAGATTTCACATTCTCATTCGAGTTTTGTTAAATTTTAGTTTAAGGTGAAATCTACAAAACAGAACAATTTCCTGCAAAAGCTTGTCAAATCAACTGTTAAAGTGTGACAACAAATTTTCTGTTGAATTTAACACTTACAAATTAGCTATGATTATACATAAAGAGAGATTCGGACCGACCCAAAAACATCTCATATGATGTAGACTCACAAAAAAGTTTGATTGGCAGAGAAACATGAGCTTAATTTCAACATTTTTAAGCTACAATAAAACGATCGAGAGGATTGTTCCAAAAAACTATATGAGTGCAATAAACAAAAGGCCTTTTATTGCGTGATACGTTATATTAAATAGTCCTAGAAACATGTTAAATATATTTGTGGAGATAATACAAACAAAAGAAAAGTTAATCAAGCTATTATTTCTGATTGGCCCGAAGATAACGAAACATACGATGAATATTGTTGTAGCATAAGCATAAACTAACAATGATATCATTGATGAAAATTATTTTCATCTGCTTGAATATTTTGAATCTGATGATTAAAGTTGCATTCACTGTGAGAACTTTTTTTCTCACACACTATTTATGTATAAGCACTCAAAATATTATGAAGGAATCAACAATAATGTTTGTTTAAAAAGGTGAGAGCTTTCAATATTTCGTATTGAAGCACAGTCAAGAAACGTGCTGAAAGAGAAGAAAAATCTGATGGATGGTAAATCTTTGAACATAAAAATGAAAGAAAGAAAGCAGCAACTGGTTCATGGCCTCATTTATTTTTAAATAACGAAAGTAAATTTCCGCTTTGACTAGGCCTTATTACATCATTCTGGTTCAAAAAGAATCAGAAGACTTTTGATGGTATGTAATTGAACGTTTTTAAAACATTCTCTCATTTAATTTTGGAAGGTTAAACGATTCGAAACATTTATCTGTTTGTTGAATGTCACTGGGATTTCATTCATTACTTAAAGTTGATAATATCTACTTTTCTTTAAATATTGACATCTCTCAAAGCAAAGAGAATTCTCTACTCAATTACCTACCTAATTTCACATAACGATGTAAAGCTTATTCGACCTACAACGTTTAGATCTTAATTATTCATTTCCATCGCTTATGCGTCATTAAAATTCATTTTAAAATAAACATGCAAGACTGTCAGAAGTTCTGAAACGAAGCTGCTTGTCTTGAGATCTCAAAATTTCTGATGATTCTCATAAATTTATGTCACAATATTATCTATAAACATTAAGTTAGAAGCATTTATACGCACTTCCGCCGTCAATTTATTTTTAGAAGATTTTATTTAGATAAAAAAAGATAATCTTATACTCATTAGCATATTTCTTTCAATCATAACGATTTATCCTATGCTACACATACGACATCTGCTGCGTTGCGATACGAACATAGATCAACTGATATAATCATGAATGTTTATCACTGTCGACGCCAGAAAGTCTGCATTGCAATCACTTCAAGTGCCGCCAATTGTATATCTGATTTCTCTCTTATCATAATAAAGCCATTTAGATATTGAAATTTAATTTCTTTTATTAGCTACACTATGAAAATATCTGAATCAATAAAGCATGTTAAAAAATATTATCAAGTTTTATTGTGGTAATTTGTAAATGTCTAGATTTTTAAAATGTGCTTATTAAGTGACTGTAGATACATTGAATCGCGTGACAAATTGAAGCGGGCCTAAGGTTGAAAAGACAATTTAGTTGTTGACCTCTACACTGTTTATGAACTTTTAATTTGCTGATATTCAATTGAGAGTTGATGAAGTTATCAATGATACCATCAAAAGGTTTTATGCCTTGACTAACTGTGAATAAAAGTTGTCGTTGCATGTTTAGCATTGCGTTGCGTGTCTTCATTGAAATGTCACGGAAAAAAAGTTGATTAGCGTTTCGCCACTTCTGTTTGTCTGCTAATTGGGAAATTGATAAGCAGAGGATTTGTGAATGTAATGAAAAACTTCAAGGGTCAATACTTGAGCAATTTAACAGAAGAGCTCTCAAGCTATAAAACATTTTATGTTTCATTTCAAGCACTTGGATTTTTCGAATATCATTTTATCACTTTATACAATGTAAAAGTCAATTCCATTTAGATTCTAAGCTTTCAATCACTTACCAGCATGAAAGTCAAAACACATACAGCGTGATGGAAAACATAAAAAAAAGATTTCTTCGGATCACACGAAAATTTTACGTTTCGGTCGATTTTCGATGGGGCAGTTTACCTAATCCCGGAAAATGCGAAAATCCCTTATAAGTGTCGAGGTTTTTCATAAAGCTTCTAAACTTTTCTTTCCCCAAGACTTTCTATATATGTTTCAATAATTCTTTTCTTTGAAATCGTAGCTAATATCATTTTGTATGATTGAACATTTACCTTTTAAGGAGAAATTTCTGTAAGAGGACCTTTTCGTATTATAAGTATGAAAGGAAATGTGAGTGAATGATATTGTGTTTCATAAATTGATCTTGAAGCATTGAAACCCTCATTCACTTTACATGCTTCTAAACTGTTTAAGTGAGAAGATAAATTGTTCATATGTAGATACGTAGAAATGCAAATAGGATGAATGGGTATGGTTAAAAGTGTAAATTGGGAGTGTTCATGGCAAGTGTCAATTATATTTGCTGAGTAAAAGCCACAGAATTGGAATGGAAATTCCTCAGAAAAGATTCATTAACTGGAAATATTTCAACATGTTCTTATTATGTTAAGAAAAACATGTTTGTTAACTTGAAGTTTCTTGATTGGAAATCATTTGATCTTAGGTTTGTCGATATGTTATAATATACAATTAGGTTTATTATTCATATTTAGATTTAATTGTGTATATTATATTTCTGCACTGTTTAGTAAGATCTGTTATTAAATTCTTACAATAACTCTTTATATGTACATATTCAAGCCAACCTACAACATAATCCATGCACTGCAATTAGCTTTGAGTTATTACCTTTCATCGTTTCTTCAAAAGCTGTTACATCATCATTCATCACGTGAACGCTCCCAACAAAGATATATGTCAAACAATGTTGTATTTCTGTACAATTTTAGTGAATGTTCTTTATTCACAGCTGGTATTCTCGATAAAATTTGTACTTAATTTATTTATACATAAAACTCCAAAAGATGTTCATTGATGTGATGAAGAAAATTATAAAGTTGAGTACTTAGGAAAACAAAGCACAATCTTAGCAAATGCACTTCGTATTTTATTCTATTTAAATTAAAATTTCACACAAAAAAATACTTTGATATTCCTTAGTCGCTTGTTAGTTGTTGCTTAACAAATTTAATAAAATCATTGTAAATTGGGAAGTAGATAAAGCACATCGTTCAACGAGAGGAAAAAGTTTTCTCAATTAAACTTGTTGCATACTCAACAGCCGTCGTCCCAAGGGCGTCTTCATATAGTACAAGAAAAGCTTTTCATTTTCGTATTAAAACTTAGTAGATATCATGAAGAAAATGAGTTTTGTGCAAACTTTAACGACGAACGAATAAACTTCAAAGTACGGGAAGAAAGCATTTTCCAGAGCATTTAATTAATTTCCCTCTCGCTACATATAATTGCCAATGTTGCTTCGAGTCGAGTAATTTTATATTTTTTTTACACAAGGAGAAATAAAGAAAACATAAAAACAACTTTTCCTTCTCCATGGCATCCGATTAATTTTTTTTTTTATTTTCTTCCATCATCTTGAAAATTATTGTTGTTTAGTTTCGAGTATTTTGTCTGTACACAGCGTGAGACCTCATCCCGCTGTACGCCCTAAAGGTAATCGTCTTATAAATAAACATTCTCCTTTTTTGATAACAAATCTAATTCATACGATGAGAGGAAGAAACTTTTTCAACTATGTAGTAGCAATTCTGAGAAACCATAAACATAATCTTTTGTTTTTGATAACAATTCCTGACTAATTTGATCGGCTGCATTTGGCATGACCACAAACAACGACGTGTTGGTGAGAGCGAGATTCCAAAGCATCATCAGCAATGTAAGATTATTATCAACTACATTATTTTATGTTTCAAGTTGAAAACGCTTCAAGCATTTGGACAACAATTATTAATAAGCTATGATTATTGATTAATTATCAATGTTAAGGCAACGGCAGATAGATACGAAAGCTTTTCTTATTTAGTGAAGGTGGGTAAACATTTGAGTTTGATATTCAATATCAACTTACATGTCTTGAACAAATGTTTATCCATATTGAATTCGAATCTCATCCCTTTACTTTCAATATATGTTGTTTACATCAGTTTATTGTTATTGGATTCATGATTAAAACGATGGTCTTGAAGTTTTTTATTCAAACTTCAATGGCAGATAGGCGGAGAATAAAAGCAAAGTATGCGCTATTGCGTAACTCGATGAATACTTTGCAACATAAGCAAAAATTATGATGATGATGATGATTGCTTTCAAATTATTACGATGCGGTAAACTTCAAAATTTCCGGTCTCACGCTTCATTTTCGTGATGGCAACGCACACCCACGCCCAAAGCAAGGAATGAAATCTTGATTTTGTTTGAAGTGTTGTTTTTCTCGTCGTGTTATTTTCTCTTACTTGCTTGGTTGGAATTGTTACGCAAATAAATTAGATATCTGCAGTGTGTTCAATATCATCTTCCGTAATTTGTTTAGTAAACATAATCACGAATAAAATAATGAAATAATCCCACTGAAGCGACAACCGAAAATATAGAGAGAAGAGAATATGAAAATGAATAAAAAAAGCTGATGATTTATGATCCAGAAATGGAAACGCCGCACTAATTGCATTATTATGAGTGAAACAAAGCGATAAATTATATGGAGCCGACATAGAAAGGCCATTTAGCGTCATCAATGGGTTACAATTCTTTTCACAAAAGATCTCTAATAGTCTCAATAATTTCACTTATGACTGCCTTTTATGCATTATTAAGTTTTTTCCATATAAATATTTTTGAAAAGAAGGCTACAAGGCTGGGTCTGAATTTGAATGTTTTCGATGTAATTACATGTTGAATTTCAATATAAATTTCGTCTGTCATTGGAACGATGATGTGAGATTTTTCAAGTGAAGTGCGTTAAAGTGCCAACGTCAAAACATTTATTATGTCAATTGTTGATCAGCCCCTAGATGGTGTTCCGGTGCTGTTACTTATGTCGGAGTTTGTAATGAGAAGTTTTTTTTTGTCAATGAACAAAGTGTTAAGTAATTGACACAAAAATGTGTGTTGAGTCGGCGGCAATCGATTTTAAACTGGAAACTAAATTTAAAACTTAGCATTTAAAAAGGTGAAAGTAACCTTGTCACATAACTTGAATTAATTTAAAAGAATTAGATAATGAATACATAATCGATTAGTTGGGTATAAATTGAATTGCGGCTTAAAATTCTAGCTTTAAGTTACTTGTTTTAATTTCAAAAAGATTAGAACGAATCATGAAACTCCAAACGATTAAAGAATTTTATAATGGAAAAACAATTCTAATAACTGGTGCTACCGGCTTTATAGGCAGAATTCTTCTTGCTAAGCTGATGAGAATGGGAAATATTAAAGAGATTTTGATATTCTCAAGACCTAAAAAGGGAAAATCTAATGAAGAAAGATTAGACAAGATTTTGAGTGGATTTCTGTTTGAAGAAATGGACAAGCATGATAAAAACTTCAGAAACAAATTGCGAATCATCACCGCAGATATGGAAATCGATGGTTTGGGAATTTCGAATGATGATCTCCATTATATTCAGATGAATGTTGAAGTGATTATTCATGGAGCTGCCACAGTTCGTTTTGATGAACAGCTGAGGAAGGCGGTGGCGATCAACATTCGAGGCACTAAAAATATGCTCGACATTGCAACAGAAGCTCGCAATCTTCAAAGCTTTGTTCACATCTCGACAGCTTATTCTCAATGTCCACGCCCTGACATTAAAGAGATTTTTTATGAGTCACCAATAGATTATCGACTAGCACTAAGCTTGTTGCAAAACTTTGATGATGATCTTGTAAATACAGTTACCGAGAAACTAATTAATCCATGGCCGAACAGCTACACTTTCACTAAAGCTATTTCCGAAGATATGATCAGACAATATCAACATCGGCTACCGATAATAATTATTCGGCCTTCAATAGGTAATCCAACGAATAGCTTCCCTTAATTTATTATAAATTATTCTATTTTAAAGTTCACTGTGTTTACTCTGATCCGATTTCGGGTTACGTTGACACGTTGATGGGAACAATCGGCATTGCAGCAGGTGTGCTTTTGGGATTACTCAGAGTTTTAAAAATTAATGTGAAAACAGTCCTCAACATTGTTCCCGTCGATTTCGTTGTAAACACTTCTCTTATAGTGTCCGCGAAATTTTCAAAGTTTAACAAGGAAATTATACCGAACAACATTTTTCATTGCGTCACACCATCAACAGCGCCGCTTTATATTGGTAAGAATTATTCTTTAAAATTATTTACTTATTTAATTTCATTAAAATATTTTCAAGGATGGTTTTTTGAAATGATGGAAAGTGTCAAGATGCAGTTTGTAAGCAAGAAAATGATGTGGCCACAAAGTTTTACCATAACATCGTCCACTTTCTTGTATCGAATTCTTTTTGTGCTTTATCACTATTTGCCGGCATTCTTTGTTGATATTATTTTATTTCTCAAAGGATCAAAGATAAGACTTGTGAGAGTTTACTCTAAAATTTATTATTACTTTGAACTTTATGATTATTTTCAAAGTAAGACTTGGAACTTTCATAACACGAACGCGATGAAAGTCCTTTCATTAATTAGCGAGAATGACTTGAAGGAATTTCCTTGCGTCTCAAAAAAGGAAGATTATGAAGCAGTCTTTAGTAACACATTAAATGGTGTGAGAAGATTCATTCTAAAGGAAAATGATGAAGATTTGATAGAAGCACGCAAGAGATATTTTTACTTAAGCTATTTCCGATATATCTTCCTAGGAATACTTTACGGCACTCTTGCTTATTTCAGTTATGAAAATGTCATTAAATTATTTCAATACTTATTAAATTCAATTGTTTTGTGGCTTCCTTTAAATAAGTAAATAACAATATCAAACTGAAATTAATTAATGTCTAGGAATTAATTACGAAATAATTGAACAATAAACTGGAATAGAAACATAAATTTTTAATAACTAAATCGGGCTAATTACATAATTCTTAAGGATTTAATTGAATTTTAATTATAGCACAATGTTTAGGTTTAAAGAATTTCATTATGTTAAATTAAAAGTCGGGAAATTTTATGAAAATTTTAAAAGGTTTCGTGAGCTAATGAATGTTATTATTGATCTTTGAAGCTCAAGGCGTTTTGATTAGAGGAAGTTTTTGATTGATTCTTAGAAAGATTTCCCACCATTAACACAAATTTAAATATCAAATAAGATTTCTTTCGAAACTTTAATATCTGCCAGCATTATTTGTCTTCACATGAAATATTGAAACGATATTAAAGACTAAGTCGTGGAATCATTTCGACACACTCTATTTAATATTTTTTACGAATTTGTAAGTTTTTCCGTTCTAATCGAAAAATTCTGAATTTCATCATCGTCAATTTTTGATTTGCTGCTTTCAATTATCGCTCGAAACCAGCGACTCATAATGACAAAATGCAATTAAGTTGCTGATGTAAACCATATTGTTCCACTCTCTAATTAACTTAATTAATGTTCCATCAAACAGAATGTAATAAAGCTGAGAGAAAAGCGGGCACAGTTCTCTATTAAAACGCATTATAAACCATTATTCGGTTTGGTGATGAATGTCTAAATGGATCATAACTTTTTTATGGTCCACTGAATGGCTGATGCGTGACCATCGAGACGAACCTAATAAGCCAGAAAATTGAAGATGAAAAATCTTTTTATGAAGCTTTTTTCATCTCCCAAAGTGGATTTTTTTTTCTTTCGGCACTGAGCGGAAAAGCCTCGGTATAAAACCTTTCTTCAAGAATGTGAAAAATGTGGAATCAATAACGCCAACTGAGGCGAGCCCCATGAGTAATTCAGGGCGAACTTCCTCCGAGAATTTTCTTTTTCTATTTAAACTCAGTGAACTAGAACGATGAAAATCAATCTTCATCCCCCTAACACGGGAATGAATGAAAGCAAAAAATGAAAGAAATAGAAGAAGAAATCTTATACAGCATTCATCGAATGTGATTTTCTCCGAGATTTTCCATCACTTTACATTTTCAGCATTTTCTTTTTCTTTGTGCTCTGATTGAAGTCTGAAAAGAAATATCAACATGTTTCAAGGCGAAGAAAAAAAGAAGCGAATAAGAAAGAGAAGGAAATCGTTTCGGAATGTACCAAAAGAATGGAATAAAAGCAAAAGCATGTGGCACACACTTGACGAGTGAGCGAGAAATGTTTATGGAATGGTTAATGAGGAGAAGAAAAAGTTTATTGTCCCATCGGGAGATGACCGAAGGAAAATTGCGCCTTGAACTTTCACATGCTTCACATGCCCATCTGGTCGTAAAAGTGTCCGGAAAAGAAAGGAAAAACTTTTGTTGTTTCAAGCTTGAAAGAAATAGTTTTTTCACATCAGCACACACATCATCGTGATGTGCATGGCAAGGATTGGAAGAGTTGCCATTTCTGTCATGTGCAAGCTCATGTGAGGAAAATTTAAGAAATTCTCAGCATTCTTTACTTTAATTTTTCTACTAATCCCAACCATCTTAGAATAAAAGTTTGATCCATGAAATAAATCACTGAAAGTTCTTTGAAAAGCTAATCTAAAGATTTTATCCTAACTTTTCCATTATTGTTGTGCTTGTCCGATGTGATCAAACACGGAACATTTCCGTTCATTGAAGTGCAAACATATGTGTCGAGAAAGAAAAGCAAAAGAATAAGAGGAACGATAGAAAATTGGGTTCGCATTTTGTTACAGCGGGTCGTGGGGCTCTGATTTATGGCCTTTGTGTCGTGTTTCACCAATAATCAATGATCATTGCGTGCCAATTTCCCATTTTCGTTTTTCCACATTCTTCCCATTGTTATTCGCCTTCCTTAGCCACGCTTGACCCTCATCATAAAATTCTCCTTTTTTACTGCTTCCCTCGACGCTTCACTTGTATCAAATTTTTTTTATTCGAATCGGATGTGTAGATGGCCAAAAAGCGAATTTCTTTCATTCAATTCTTTCTTCTTTCATTCGTTGACTGTTTCCAACTGAATTGATTGGAACGTACAAGGTCGTAAATCTCATTTTCCTTTTTGTGCTCAGTTGTTGAGTCATTTCAAGTCAGCAACAATTGCTCGACGAACAACTTTTAATTCAGTTCCATTCAATTAACGATATAACGTTTCACTCATACAAAACAAAAAGTTTTTTTCATAGCGAGTACAAAAAAGAAGCTTTTTCGAGTGTGAAAGTTTTTTTTTATTCAAAGTTTTTCTTTTTCCCCCATTGCATTGATACGAACAACAATTAAAGTGCGTGTGATATCATTATAATTAAAGCTTTTCATTCATTGTTTTGCTTTTTTTCCTCGGCCATTAACGATGCAAGCAGATTGGATGTTGGGCCAGCGGAAGCGCCCTGTAATTGATATGACTCCATCATATTTTTTATGGCATTCATGTCGATGTCAACTGGCTGGAAATCTTCAATGTCATCGAACCCATCGTCAAATTCAGCTTTTTCCGGCTTTGCTTTTGTCTCGAAGCTTTTTCCTATCGTCGTGTTTGCCAATTCTCGATCCATCTGCTCCATATAAACGTCAATATTTGACTTCTTCGACTTATTTTCCTGCTTATTCTTCTTGTGAGCCTTCGAAAGTTCATCAATATTCTTTGCAAGTAAATCATCGTCGTTTTCATAGTCACTCATGTCTGATTGTGAATCCCATTTGTCTTCCGGAATCACAAAATCGAGAAGATTTTTAACCGTCGCTGAGAATGCATCGGCATCGAAGTCAATATTGTTAGTTTTAATAGATCCGCCGGCAACATGAATTGCAGAATTATCAGCCGTTGAAGGAATATTTTTATTCAAATCAACGCCGTCATACTCACTTTTTTGCTCAAGGAAATCGGTAAGCATTTCAGTCAAATGAGGTGAATTTGCATTTGAATCTTTTGTAAAGAAATCTTTTATTCCATATCGTTTCATCAACATCTCATCAAGATCCTCTGGTGCAATGTTCAACCAATTATCGCTATCAGATTCGGGCAATGATTGTTCAAGTTTCTTAAATTCTTCAAAATTGACATCAAGTTGCTTCATGTCGTTTAAGATTTCGTCTCCAATTCTTGTCGTTGTTTTCACGTCGTCAAAGTTTTGAAGATAATAAACTTTCGCATTAGCAAGTAATTCTTGATGTCCTTTAGAACCTTCAAGCAAGTCTTTGAAATATCCGCGATTTTTCAAACTTTCAAGATATTTAATCCATTCTTTGTCATTCTCTATGCTTACACGTGATTGTTTTGCTTGCGATGCGAGAATTTCGAAGCCACAAGCAATTTTCACACCCAATAAGTTAGCTTTAAAGTGGGGACTGTTTGATGAAGGAATTTGCCACCCAGTTCGTCTGTCTGGCAAGTAATTGCTATGCATTATCATTGCATAAAGGCATTTTGTGAAGACAACGCTTGTGTAAACACGATTTTCCGGTGGAAAATATCTCATTGCACGACAAGCTTTCATATCGATTGGATCGCGATTACAGAAAGCTTGAACAGCAGGAGCAATCAACTGAGGATTGTTATGGAGCAAAGCAGCAACAGCAATGGGAACAAAAACAGTTTGGCGGTGGAAATTCTTCTCGATTGATTCCGGAAAGTCTTGAATTCTTTCAAAGATTGCTTCTTCGAATTTTTTCGTGACACGATAAGTTTTGGCGTCGTCTCTTATTTTACTAATTGCCTCTTTCACTGGTAAAACATTTTCCGTGTTCGATGAGTTTTCCACAAGCAAAACATGTCCATCATAAATATAAACCTGAAATGTGTCAATGAGAATTTCATGATAGGAAAACAAATCTATTGCGTGATGTCACACCTTAAAGTGCCACTGTTCATTATTTAGTATGGAATGAGGTTTGGGCGCGTCTATTAAATTTCAAAGGGGATAAATATGAGACAAGCGAAAGCTTTGGTGAGCGTATATATGAGATTTATTTTATATTCTGATTAGAAGCAATGTCTGCTCATCGTGAATGAAGTGATTTATAAATAGATTTTAATCAAGTTATAACTTACACGTTGTTCACAAGTTTCCGGGTTTGCCCATTGTGGTAAATGATCAGCGGCTTCTATCAAAAGAAATTCTCCATCAGAATCACAGGTTCTGATAATCAACTCGTGGATCTCTTTTGTCAAATGTAACAACAATGACACGATGAACCATTCGTCTTGGATGTTATCACCGAAGTAGGAAATTCCATAAATATGGGCGGGAAGTTCTTCTGAAATGTGAATCATCATTTTTATTTTAACTTAAACGATGAGTCAGTTATTTTGAGTTTACTCACCTTTGTTTTCGTGATTTAATAAGTGAGAGTGTCTGTTTCTTGCACAAAAGTTTACTCCATCCTTGTGCCAAATGAATTTTTTTGTATAATTATTTGAGATTTCGATGACTTGATTCAAAGTATCATTTAATATTTTATCCTCTTCAACCTCATTATCAGGATCAATATTAGGAAATAAGAAATATTCGATGAAATCCTCATTTCTTACAATTTCCAAAGCCATTTCCTCTATTTTTAATTCAATATAATTTGTACGTTAAATTCGTTTAAAAACGTTTGAAGCAATATTTCAGCAAAAGGAGTGTAATAAATGCTCTATAACGATACTATTTTCAGCATTTACACTACTTTTCATTTAAAAATGAAGGAAAAACAAAAGAGAATAATTTTGATTGTTTTTATCTTTTTTCTCTAAATAGAGTATGCGCTTTTCCGAGTTTCTACGAATGATAGGTTGTGTCAATGTATTGGAAATTGGACTACCAAGTAAATTTTTTTAAAAAGGTTGTTGCTGAGTTACAAAAAAAATAATCTTATCTCTAAAGAAAATTTACTTTTTAGTGCTTTTAATATGGATACAGAAATGAATGATCTTGCTTCACCTTCACAAAGCTCTCCCTCAATGACAGGCAATTCAAACCAGACAAAAACTAACTCAAGTTCGGAGAGTTCAGTAGTAATTATTTTATGAATATTGAAATTTTGTTTACATTATTAACTAACGCCATTTCCAGCTGTTAACAAAGCCTAGACTTCAGGAACTTGTTAGAGAAGTTGATCCTAACGAGCAACTTGATGAGGAAGTAGAGGATTGCCTTCTGCAAATTGCTGACGAATTTGTTGAAAATGTTATTAATGGATCTTGTCTCATCGCTAAGCATAGAATCCAAAATGGATCAAATCGTGATAACAAAGTCGAAGTAAAAGATGTCCAGCTATTCTTGGAACGTAATTGGAATTTATGGATACCTGGATTTGGAACTGAAGAGTTACGTCCTTACAAGAGAACTCAAGTTACAGAAGCTCACAAACAACGAACAGCTTTGATTCGTAAGGCTCTTAAAAAATATTAGAATAAAAGTAAATTAAACGTGAAAAATAGTTTTTATTTTCCTAAAAAATGTTTAGTCTTTAACAAAAATTAGTCTCAAAGTTCAGAAAGAAGAATTTTATTCTTTTTGATAATTTTCTGATTTCATTTGAATTTCTTGGATTTTTTCTTTCCATATTTGATAGCCAAAGTGATTTTTAAGATTAGATTCGGTCATTAAAGATTGAACAACGACATCAGAGAATGTAAATCCTAAAAACATCAAAAAATCGAGGATGTGGTAACGAATGAAAAAGTTTGTTGCTCCAACAAAGGGAAATGCTGAATCAAAAGCATTTTGAATGATTTCTCGGCAGGATTCCTTAAATGTTGCTATATCAAAACTGTCGTCGATGAATTTCACACAGCTTTCATATCTTTCAATCATTATTTTGATACAGTTAACAGTTGAATGAACTTTGTTCCCATCAGCGTTGAAAATAAAGAGCAACCAATCCTTGATCTGTTGCAGCATTTTTAAATCCACTTCTTGCCACAATGCGTAACATTTGCCCGCCAGAAATCTTACTTTCTCCTCTCGATGTGACATCAACTCTTCAAATTTTTCTCGTAAAGATCCCATTTCTGGACAGAGTTTATAAGTATTACGAAACTCAAAGTTGGAAAACATTTCAAGTAAAAGAACAATGTAAGTCGTATTGTTCAATGTTTCTTCTTGACATAAATCAGAAAAACCAACTTTAAGAGGACTAGGAAACTTCATGGAAAATTCATAAACAGTAACAGCTTTTGGTTCGTATTTCATAATTGAACAATCTTCATTCAGATTGCAGCATTTTTGATTCGATATTTTAGGCAGGATGGCACCGACAATTTGAAGTAAAGCATTTATCATCACATAGTTTTTAGTTGATATTCTCAAGTTTTCAAAAGTAGCGAGAAGAATTGAATTGTAGTAAGGAATCATTTCTTCAAGAAGATTTCCATCTTTAATCAATCCAGCAAGAAGATGTAATTGTATCGGCTTAGTTTTGTCGTAGAAACGAACCTTCAGTTCATCAGATGCATTTTGGATCTCAACCAAAGCAATGAGAGATTCAATAACAAATTTAACAAATGCTGGATGATTTTTAATAATTGCTTGAGCCATGAGAATATGTCCTCTATTACAACGAATATCTTCATTAGTGACACGTTCTCCACAATAAATTTTGTGTTTTAATTTGATGAGAGTTTTTTGATAAACGACTGCTTCGGGATTATTTCGATTACAAAAGTTTAAGAATTTTTGTGAAACTATTTTAGTTATCTTTCCAATAGCTTCACTGGCTGATTCGATGGCACCTTTGTGACAACATTTAGTAAGAATTTGAATATTTATGTCAATGCAAATATCGATAACTCGAGATTTTAATAGGTTGTTGAATTCAGAATCTGCAACCAACTTTGTAAATGTAAAAGAGATTTCTGAACAAGATCTGAGCGTATACCAGATGAATAGAAGAAGTTTCGGTTTTAAATCTAAAGATTCTGTTGAAGATTTTCTAATGAGATCATCAAGTCTTTGATCAAGACTCTCAAATGTTGTTGTCTCGTCTGTGTCATTAATTAAGTCAAGAAATTTTTTTGTGATTTCCTGAATACAATCCAACGTTGTCATCAATTTATTCGTCAATTCTTCAGTTGATTCCAAACGTGAAAATGTGTAATTAATTTCATCAATAAAGTTGTATAAATGATTTCCTGTTTTCATCGATAGTACAGGATTAGAATCAGATTTGAAATCCTTCCATTGCTTCAATATTTTGGAAGGAGAAGTTCGAAGATTGTCAATGCCAACATTACCCAAACGAAATTCTTCTTCAATATCCAGAACATAAAGCTTTCTTTTGCATTCAAAATCCCCAATTTCCATTCCATATAATTCCTTTTTGGAATGAAATATTTCTTGAAAAACAGAGAAACAGTCATCTGAAGATGATTTAATAAAATATTCAACCAAAATATTTTGTGCTGTGTTGGAAATGTCGCTTTCATCGCTAAGATAAACGAGATCAAATAATTTATCAATGATTTCTTTTGATAATAAATCCCAAATTTCGTTCTGCTTCAAATATATTCCAAACTTTGAATTTTCCTTGTAATTTGTATTTTTTGACAATCCTGATTGTGATGTACTAAAATACTGTTTAAGGATGACTTCCAGCAGCTTTAAACTAAACATGGTTGACTCGTAAAAATTCAAATTAATTCCGTGGCTAAAAATGTCTTGTTTGATAATTCCAAAAGCTTTTCTTTGAAATTCCAATTCTCGTATTTTTTTATTTGCGAGGAAATTGAAGAATTCAGGAAGTTTCCGCATTATATGGTGATCAACGAAGTTTGAATCTTTCGTGGTCATATTTGTACGAATAAATTTGAGTAAAATGAAAACGTTTTCTTTTTGCTGACTTTCATTTTTTTCTGTGTAGATTCTGTCGATTAATATGGAAAATATTTCAATTTTAATTGGCATCTCTTCAATGACAAAAGCGAATTCGCTTATACTTTTATCAAGCTCAGGATTTTTCATGAAGCCTCTAAATGCATTCCGCAAAACGAGAAGACGATGAAACTTCAAAGATGTTGTTGGAATGTTTAAAAACTTTCCATCCTTGCTTATTTCATCATAAAATTTATTGACGAATTGTTGATCAAAGCCACTGAACCAATACTTGACAATATTTCCAATTTCTTTATCTTCTCCTTTCCATAGAAATCCGGAAAGTATTTTGATGAAATCATCTTGAAAGAATTCATGTTTATGAAGAGCTTTAACCAAATTTGCACTTGAAGCTAAGAGATGATGGAATGTGAGAGCAACAAAAATTCCTTTCAGGAAATTATCTTTGACAAAGTTTTTGTTTGATAGCAGAATTTCTATATTTGTTGCTATGATTATCGAGAGTAAAGAATATTTATTTCGATTTGTCCATGGCAGCTTCAAAATATCATCAATTATTTCATTATTACGCGGTTTTGTCGGATTGAAAATTTTACAAATTTCGCTCTTGCTCTCGCTGTCAATTTCGATCTCATATGGAAAAAAAAATTTCATCATCTGGTTGAAAAGATTTAAGAGCAACGGACGGACATTTTCGTGGAGATTTTCAAGATTGCTCATTAAAATTGTATTGTAACTTTTAGTGTTTGAATTTCCCACAGATATTTCACCATAAGCTATGAAATTTTCAATTGCCACTTGAAAGAATTTCGTGTGCATCGAATAAGCCAATGAAGCAACTTCAAAACTGTTTCCAAATTGCATCGTGTTTGGATACACAACACCAAATTTGTTGATAAATTGATCATTATGAACCCACATATAGATACGTAATAATTCAGCTCCAAGTGTACTTGTTTGTGATCCATAGGTTTTAAAAAGTTTCTCAACATAAGGATAATTAAGACAAAGTGCCGGTTTTAACAAAGCTTTAAGAATGATTTTCTGATGTGAAAGGTTTTTGCTTGCAGAAAAATTCTTTATGAGTAGCAGTGTTAATGTATAACCTGAAGGATTTAGTCTTACATAAGTTTCTTTTTGGTTGTGCTCTTTGAAAAGATCGTAATTTATGGCTTCAATTGACTAAGTAAAGAATTTAAATTAAACAATGATATTTTGACATAATGTTGTTTAAGGATCTACCTGACAAACTTTTAAGACTTCAGAGAATGTTTGTGCTTGTTCTAATCTTAAACTAGCAGAAGTGAACACTTTAACAATTGGATCCATTTCTGTTCAGTCTCACGTCGGCTTATTACAAAAAACTTCGTTCGCAGGGTTGTCTCTAAACAAAGCTCGTTCGCAGGGTTGTGACATTCTTTATAATAGAATTTAAACTCTAAAAGAGCGTTAAAACCGCTTACCAAAATTGCAAAAAATTAAATTCGCTTCATGATATTATCTACGTAAACTAAAAAAATTATGTATTGGTTTATATAAACAAATATGAGAATAAAACTCATAGATATACATGGATCTATAGACAGAAGTGACTTATCGTTCATAAAGATAAACAGATAAACAAATATGTATTATACAGTAAAATAAATCAACTTAAGATAAGAAATGTAAGTTTATAAAAACATCTTTTTCTTAATGTACAAGTAGATACCCACATTGAAATCATCTGAACACGCGATGTGCGAACAGTTCTGCTTGTGAAATTATTTATGGAAGTGGAATTTAAATTGACAACAGAGGCCTTGTCTTAACACCCACAATACTTTACATGCCATTAATGATTTGACTCGCAATTTTGTTCTGTTTGTGGATGAGACCTTCTGTTAATGTTTTCACTCAAACACTTTGTAACATGCTAATGATTTATAGATGATTAGTTAGTAATGGAAAGATTAGAACTTTCATTTATCCTCTTAAGAATATTTTATTTGGAAGTAATCTATTTGATCATGACAGCAGAAATGTCAAGTGTTAACGGTATAAATAAGAGAGATTCCCATTTATCACTAAGAAAGCAATGTCTATAAAAAAAATTCACAAGATTTTTAATGTCAGAAAAGTGTGAAACTTATCTGAACGGGATAAATTATGTATGTTGTGAAACGTTTCGAATAAAAATGCAAAATATTTTGTCTTACTTGCCATTTCTTCTTAAAAGACTTTTTAACTCTAATCTTGTTGGAAAATTTTTAAATTTCCATTAAAAATCAAGTGGAAAATAATCGGGAAATCATTAGGAACCAATTTATCACATAACATGAATATAAAATATTTATCATGCATTGAAATTTGACACAGTTTTACTCAATTGCCGTCTCATTCAGCATAGGAAATCAATTCTCCAATCTTCGACATGATACGGCACCGCCATTCATAACTGTTTACTCAATGTTTCATTCATAGAGATTTATTCACTTCTTTTCATCGTTTTATAATCGATTATTCAATGGACCTGCTTTAGATACATTTTTTTTCTTTTCTTCTTTTATTTTTATTATAAACGACTCAATTTGTAGATTATTGAAGAAATATAGAAAGAGTAATTGATGTTTATTAAGTTTAATACAAGAGTAGAATCAATTAAAAGTTCTGTCTAGATACAATTAAAAGAATCTCGAAGGAAATCACCAATCCCACCTGTGAATTCAATAATTGAAATCCTAGATATTGTTTTCTCAATCTTTTTGCGAATAAAGCGTGATCATGATGTACATCCGATCGAAAAGCGAGAGGAGAAAACACATTAAGACGTCACTATGAAACACTACATTGATTCTTCCAAGTCATTCTTAATTCATTTCGCAATTTGTTTTATCCGATTTACGTAACCACGTTGTGCTTATGCTGCTGACAACATTCATCTCAATTTTACTCTCTCAGCACAGCGATCGAGGAGAGAGAAGTGGAACAAGCATGAAAATGGAACACAGTCCCTCAAGTTGCAGAAATGTTTTTGCTTGTTCAGTTTTACTTGTGAATTCAAACTCATAAGATCAGTCTCTGTGAAGTGATTGAAGATTCAATTGGCACCAGGAAAGATTTAAATGCCTTTAAGCGGCTAAACGAATAAAAATTTAAAACATTTTATTGAATTGAAAAAGTTGTTAAAGAATTCAGTGGAAATTTAAAATTACTTCGAAAAACAATAAAATTTTTGAAAAGTCAATTTGAGTTAAGCACAAAAGCATTTTAATATTATTAACAATTGACTTCATCATCAAGAAAGTGTCATTTGTTTGGTGCTTGTTCAAGTGTTTTCAAGCGACGTAAGTAGATTATTGTTTCCTACAATCAAATGTTTCTATGCAAACTCGTTGATATCTACAATAATGTGAAAATAAATGAATTCAACGTCAAGTGATTTAATTATAAAATTATGTCATGGTTGGTTCTCTCGTTTTACTTCCATATATGTATGTGCGAAATTCACTTGAATCGTTAATAATCTACGATTCTTGATTTAACTGGAAGTGAACAACGAACCATCTGCTGCTAGAAACTCGCAGAATCTCTCACTAAATTCCTACACTTGAGTCTCACTTTGTTTACTTAGAGTAGCAGCTTCGAGTGATGAATAATTAACAAAAATATTTGCTGTTTTGAAGTTGCTGCGTGAAGTAAACTCAACTCGATATTCATGATAATAACTTTTCGAGACTCTTCTTTCTGATTGCCATTCTTTGTTCCTTGCTTTGCTGAATTTGCTTCTTCGTTTAGCTCGAGCCTCTCATTAAAGTGTCAAGAAGAAGAAAAAAATGTTTTTGAGATATGAGAATTGACACGAAAAGAAGGGAAAAACATTACACACATGAACGATGATGACGACCGAAATGTGAGTCGGAGGTGAAATTCTTCATTAATTCTTTTCGCTCTTCATCGCTTGTTTGAAAGCAGCAACAATTAAGATGACTTTGTTGTCAGTAGCGTGTCGTCAATGACGAGTTGTTGAATGTTGTGTCGAATTCTTAAGAACTTCTGCCCTTTAAATATCCAATGATTTATTCAAAGTCATTCGAGGGTGATATCAGCAACAACACAAAGCTTTTTCACCTTTTAGAGTTGCTCTTCGCATGATGCTGATTCCTTTTTCAAAACTTTTAATGCCACAACAGACATCATCGACATAAACTCACAATCACGTTGAATGGAATGAAATGAAATGCTGATCAAGGTCGTTTAGTTTTCGTTCTTTTCTCCATCTTCGACATGAATAAAGCGAGCGATTTTATTTGCTGAAGATTAGCACAACAAAAGTCGTTCGTTCCTCAATCTAATCGAAGCTTTTTCTTTCCTTCAATCGATCAATCAAATCGATTTTGCCTCAAGGCATTCGAACACCAACAAAATTCCGCTGCGATCAGCAATTCAACTTCTCGATTTGCATTTTAGATTTTATTTCATGTTTTGCACAAAATCTCAACAAAAAAAACTCACAAAAAACTGGAAATTTCTCAGAAATGAAATGAAAACAACGAACAAGACGAAGCATTGCGAGGCAAATGACATCATCAGTTGACTATAAAGTTTCGAGTAACTCGCCTCTTGTTGAAGACGATGGCGAAGACGAAGTCGAAGTGTCTTCTGGCACAAAACGAATTTGAAAATTATGCAAATGAAAGCTCAACTCAATTCTTTGGTTTCATTTTGTGGTTTATTTATTTTTTTGCTTCACCACTGAAGCCACTGCTGCTTCGTAGTTTGTTGATTCTCCTTCAAGTCGCACGCAAGTTATTCTCCTTCAACTATCATTGTATTGAGATTATCCAGAAACATTCTTTGCGAATTTTAAAACCCTCGAAACAGGTTCTTGTGTGACAAACGATTGAGAGTGGCAGAGTTTGATTTTAAAGCTCCATTAAACGATCATTAACTTTGAAGTCACTGAAACAATTCTCAACAGTGACGACGACGACAAAGACGTAAAACGAGATTAAAATCAAAATACCAGAAATTGAAAACAAAACCAAAAAAAAATAATAATAAAAAACCATTTCTGAAGCTTTCAGTTTCTATTTCTTTCGTTATGTAATTCCCAACCACATCTGTGGCTGAGAAAATGCCCATAATAGACCAGAAGACCTAATGACCAAATACACTTATGAGATGTTGTCGGCGTTGGAATGGAACGCGAGAGAGTGAGGAATAATAGTTTCACAGATGAATGCCACGCAACAAAGCTCGCTGGGGAAGCAAAGGAAAAAAGCGAAAGTCTCATCTGCACTTTTATATTTCGACGCTTGTTAGGCCTTCAAGCGATCATCTCTCATCCTCATCTTCTTCTCTTTATTTCAATCTTTTGTTGTTTTTTGCATCGACATTCGTATGCGAAGAAAAATGCGCTTAAATGATGTCAGGTCTAATCAAATATGAATTTAGTTATTGTGCAATAAGTAAAGACTTGTCAGGGAAATTTACGAGTCATCGGCAGAAAAATTTAGTTCAAATAACATTCATCGCGATAATTTATGAAATTTGCTTCATCGCAGCGTGTTCCGTTAAGTTTTCAATTAACAACACTTAAAACCTATGTCGATGATGATGTAATCGAGTTAAAAGCGTTACAATTTACTCATCCAAAAAAGAGCAAAACCACTGACTTAAAGCCTACCTACCACATACCGAGTGAACTCGCATAAGGTTGAACGCCCATACAACGTTCTCGTCCTAAACTTGCGAAATTAATTTCCAACTTCAACCAGTTTCTTGTAATTTAATGCCTGACAATGTCAATGTAATATCACTCTGTGTGGGTGGAGATTTGAATTTGATTTGATTTGTCATGTGTGAGAATAATTTTGAGTTTAATGTTTTTCCCTTTTATTCAATTAAAGATTGATTCCAATGAAGTTGTTTTAGATATTTATTTTATTTTTTTTACTCGATTGTTGTGTAATATTTCATTATGTAGATAACTGTTAAACGTAGATCAACATTCAAAGTTTCTTTTTAAATATATTTTTTTGTGAAAAGATGTTAGGAATGATTCTGAAATGTTATGAACCCAATTTGTAGTTTATAAACCTGCTTTGAACTTGTTATTAGCATTGCTTTGTGTCGTTAGACTATTTAAGAACCGTTTTTGCTATAGCTACAATAAAAGATCTCTTTAACATTTACCATCTTCGGTGAGTTCTTTGAAAGCATCAAAAGCATTTGATTCGCTTTTTTATATCCAAATCCGAAGCTAATTGAATGAGGAAAGGAAAAAATTTCGCATTCACACACCTTTGATAATCAGCACAATCAACATGAAAGCGACAGAAAGAACTTCGATTGTTTAAATAAATATCTAATTTCTTAGAAGCTACAAAATTTCTCTGTGCTTTCGACGCTTTTTTATTTTTATTTGCAAAAGCGATTGAAATGAAGCGATAAAATTAAATTAGTAGACCAAGCCCATGAATGGAGTTTGCTTGTTCTTTTCACAAGATTTAAACGGGAGAGAGAAAAGAAATTGTGTTAAAAAGTTTCACCGGGAATATTTTTCGAAGTAATTAGAAGCAGTGGTGGAAAACCTTTCATCATTGCATTACTCGAGAAGAAATCTTTGAATTCTTAGACTTCGGAAACTTCTCCAACACCACTGACAATGAAATATAATAAAAAGCCATGAATCGTGCCATTGCCATTGATGTAAATAAATTGAATGAAAAATCAATTGTTTATGCCAAAGATGGCAAGAATGATGCCGAGAACATCGCGCAAGCCAATCTTCAGTCGGTTTGATTCAATTCAATATAAAAAATAAAAATCTCCATAAAGATGTGATAAATATCATCGATGGGGCGGCGAGAATTTCTCTCCATTATTTATAGATTCTTCCGCATTGTCTACGCGTAAAATCTGTGGCTAGGCTCAATTGCAAAAATATAAAAAAATATAAAAATAAAAGCTTAAAGGCCTTCTTTTTATGGATTCATTAATTTGAAGTTAATTCCATTTCCGCGTTTTGTGTTCGCATCTCGTTTGGCATTTAGAATTGAAAATTCTTTACTGGTCTCAACTTCTTAGCTTTATTTTCATATGATTTATGCAACATTGTTTCAAATCTTTTGAAAGAGAAACAACACTCAGAATAATAAATACAATTACTGCAGCATTTCAATAGTTATTTCTCAATTATTTCAACCATTTCAAGATCATTAAACGGAATCGACAGAAAACAGCAAACAACAAGATTTGAAGATGTTTATGATTCTCATATTTTCAATTGTCGAAAAAGATTTGTGATGTTAAAATGAGCACTGAAGTAAAGTGCGGTTACGAGTAGTTGTTGTATGTAAATAAATATATCGAATCCATTTAATATAAAACTATCATGCACACGTTCCTTTGTTCATTTCAAGCAATCGCTGCTACTTACTGCTTTAGCATTTGCTGCTGCTGCCTCCGCTAAAAATAAAAAATAATAAAATCTGTTTCAAGGTGAGGGCTTTCAACTTCACTCATAAGTAAATTCCCATTCCAACTTCAACGATGTTTTAATAAACATTAAACATCTGAGAAAATATTTGATTATGAAACTATTAACACCGCCATCAATAATCGAATTTTCAGTTAATCCCAAGCACTCAAATATCCAAAAAGTATCGCCTTTCATTTATCGGAATCTTATGTGGCTAAATACTTGAAGGTGGGTCAAGTCTCTTAAACACTTTAAAGCGCAAAAATAACAAAAACTTTAACTTTACACCTATCGAGGACGTGAGAAAACAATGCAAAGTTCTTATGCATATATGTTAAGAGATGTTGTATGAAAAACTAACTGAAGTGAAGAAACGAATGAACAGAAAAAGAAATAATTAATGACTTTTCATAAAAGCTTTCTTAATTTATTTAAGAGATGTAAAAAAACGATGCGATGAACATTATCAGCTCCTAATTTCCATCTTCACCAACTTACATAGAAGCGCCATAAATTTTATCTTGAAGCATAATATTTTCAACAGCAGCAGCTGGAAGAACGAAGCTTACTTGATTAATTTTGCGAGAAGAATCGCTAGAAGAGTAATCTGCTTATAATTAACTTGAACACACGATTTCATGCTTCATCATAATTATATTGATTGTAACATGATTTTTTCTCTAAAACTTCTTTCTTTCCTGCTCTTCCTTTTTTCTCCCATTCATTGGATTATAAAATCAAATGAATTAGAAGAGTGACTCAAAAAAAAGTAAATGAATGAATTCGCTCATTCGCTTGATGTTATGATAAATAATGAAATGCTGGAGGTGAGTTGGAAATCCGGGTCAGTCTGTGACTTTAATTTTCAATTTGCAGAAGCGTCAAGCACAATTTATAAGCAAGCACGGTATTGGCAATAAAAAATTATTTGCTTTAAAAATGTGTTAAGCTTTGTATGGAAATTAAAATCAGAAGAAATCGAGTTAGTTGAAAGGCCATTAACGTTTAATTTGCTAAAATTGCCATTGAGTTATTCGAATTAGAAGTAATAAGCGTCATTTTCACCCACTCAACAATTGAACCTGTTTCATTTAACTGCAGTCATTTCGTGCCTCGACTGCCCTCTAATCCTTGAGTTTAATTAATTGCACAACCAAAACAAGGTTTTTAAAAATAATCATCGTGACTTGAGTTAATTTCTTTTCAGCAAAATCGAAATTATTTTCTTGCTCGATATTTGCAGTGCAAAAACTTTGTTAACATGAATGTAAAATTGATTTCCTTTCCAGCAAAGGTTCAGCTTGTTGAAGTCTAGAGATTTGATTAACTACTGCTGGGAAATTGAAACAAAAAAAATGGAAAAGAAAAAACTGAAAAATGCAGTCAAACGCTCTCCGGCTGTGATTTAGATTCACAATAATTACAGTTATAAGTGCTCGTGACGACGAGTCTTAATAGTTAAATACATTCTTTTGCTGTTGTTCTTCTTTCCGCTTGCTTTAATATTTTTATTTATTTCTTTCTTTCTTTATTGAAGTTTAATTGCTTTGAGCTTTCAATGATGTTCTAATAATGACAATATCTAACGATTAATCTTTTGCCTTTGGGTCTTAGGGATTGAAGAAAGTCGCCCGAGATTCTCTCCATCGGGATCCCCATCATCGGGATAATAAATGCCATTGCCCATTAAGAATTAAAACCAGAAATTGTTGAAAGATTTGCGATTGAAAATCGAGAAATTTACTTCATTCGTTCGCCATCACCACAACAAGAAATGAACAATAAATGCAGTAAAGTCATAAACAATTTTCTTCTTTTTACTGTTTTCACTTAAATTATTTAATAATCTTTATTTCCTTTCAAAAAAAGTCGCAAGATGCATTAAAATTGTGATTATTGAACGACTTTGTACACTTTTAGAACTTGTTCTGTGATGTTTGCAAGTGTCAAAGGTTATCGCATGCTGTTGCGGTTTATTTCGAAATATTATGACAGTTTTATTTTGTATTTTGATTAGAGTGAACGCTATGCGAAATATTCTTCAAATATTGACAGTTTCAATTACGATTGGTTTAAGTTCCGCGGTTGATCTTCCTTGTGAGTTTTATTTTGATTATCAATTTGGATATACTTGTAAAGTTGTAAACTTTACGAGTCTCCATAAATCGACGTTCGTCACAAGAGTAGTTGGTGATCATCACTATGATCAAGCATACAGGAAGCTCAGTCTAAACAGCGTTCGACGTGTTGTCATGTGGAACACAACAATTCACTGGCTGCCGGGAAATCTTTCACAAATCTTTCCGCTCTTAAAAACTCTGCAAGTCAAGAAATGCGACATGACAAACCTCACACGAAGTACGGAATTTCATGGCTTACACAAATTGTATTATGGCTTCAATAACATCAATCACATTCCTGTCGAATATTTCTGGAATTTTTGTAAGCTTGAGATTTTATCATTGTATGGAAATAAAATTTCTACGATTCCAAAGATGGCATTTCGTGACTTAATTAGCCTCAACCGGATATCACTCGGCAACAATCAATTGCGGCAAATTCATTTGAATTTGTTTGATAATTGTTTGAATTTGTTGTACATCGACCTTGACAACAACTTTTTGGAGTATCTCGATAACGAAATGTTCCGTCGCTTAAAAAAGCTGAAGAGAATTTATCTTCGGAACAACAAAATCACCTTCATTGGAAATGAATTTCTGTCTGTGGAAAAGTTTCCTAATTTAGAGTTTGCTTTGTTTCAAGGTAATCCTTGCATCGACCAATCATTTCCTGAGACAGGAGCCGGCATTAACCCTCGAGATTACATTCGAATGGTCTTCATGGAGCTCTGTTCAATTGACACTAGAACATCACCGAAACCAACACGACCTAGACCAAGTTTTAGGCAAAAAAGCCGAAATATGAAATAAAAAGAATTTATTACGTTGAGAATTGCAAGTGGCATGTTCCACCATCTCACAGATATTTTTGAATTGTTTTGAAACGCAAAAACACAAACCAGTTTCACAACGTCATGTGAAATAAATTTAAATTCAAATCAAGCACAAGTAAACATTACCGAAACGACGACGACGACTGTGAACTGTTTGAGACTTGAGTGAATTAAAGAAAGTCATTGTTGTCTTTATAAAACTCTTTAAAACAATAAACAAAAGCTAAGCTTAAACACACTCACCATTTGTCTCCATTTACTCTCAATTAAAGACGCGAATTAAACAAAGAATTAAACGTAGATTTCATGTGAAAAAAAATGTTGGAAATTCTCATGCGCTTGACGAATTTATTTTATTGTCTCAACTGCGGATTGCTTTTGGACTTGAATCGGATGTTAAAAGAGCGAATGAATTAAATTTGCATAGAATGGCAGTGAAACGAAGCGTTCGGGCTTTTTTGAGGACGATGGTAAGCGTCGTCAGCATCAGTTTACAAGAATTAAAACCATTTGGTGACCCAGATGCACGGATTTCCAGTTGCTTCAAGAAGCATACACCAAGAAGCAGATCTCGTCCCCCCTTTTAACCCCTTTTTTAGCTGAATATGTTCGACATTTTCTAGTCGCTTTTCTTCTTTTTCTCTTCAAGCGATAGAAGTCGTCGTCGGCAATTTAGCAGCAAAGTAAAAGTCACTGTCGTTGCTGCTCTACGATCTAGATTAGCATAAATATATACTTTTAAGTTGAAATCTCATCCCAAGTGTTATGCGCTTTACTTTTACTTCGATTCTCGATTGAAATTCAATGGAAAATGAAAGGCTTTGAGCTTTTCTTTAAGTCTCACAACAGTCAATCGATAAAAATTCTTTTCTTCCATTTCTTGACTTTCTTTCTAAGTATTTTCTGTCTTTTGTTATAATTTGACATTTGTTATGCTTTTAAAAATCTAAATACTTACAAGAAAGAACAAAACAAAACTTTTCTTTTCCTTCTCAACTTGGAAGTTTCTTTGAAAATTTGTTTGAATCGCGTGACCGCAAAATAAACCGCAAAGATCACGGACATATGTTAGCAAGTCAATATTTGAATGAATTCGTTTATGTTATCGTAAAATATTAGTTTTTGATCGTTTTTTTTGTTTATTTGTTTGTTGTTTTGCTTGCCATTGTTGCATATTTATGACCTAAATTTTGCGCTTTTTTTGTATCTTTTCAGAAAAATGTTTTAATTCATCGAGAGTGCAAAATTTTAAACAAATTGAGGACAACGATGAAGAGTCTTGAAAGACAAGCACGGAAGGTGAGGAAGGGACATTATGTGGCGACACACAACAGCAGCCCATCGCCACCTTATGGATCAACAAATCGCGCTTATTTCTCAGATGGTGACGATAGTCGACCACCTTCCGAACGAACATTGTCAGAATATACGATGGTGAACGAGCGATCGTCACCTCCGACAGCTCCATCGAGAAAGTCACGTGAACGTGAACGATCCAAGAGTCAAAATGGAATCTACGATGGTCCACGTCCCTTATCTAGTCCCCCAAGTCGGCCTCCGCCAAGGGCACCCTCAGCTTTGAGTTACGATCATGGCGGTGAAAACGGTGATATTTATGTGACAAGTGCGGTGTACAGAGCCCCATCAGAGATGAGCCGATACTCGACACATCGAGAACGTGATCGCGTTTATCAGCACTCGAAGCCACGCAGTATCTACTCAGTTGCAAGCAGCAGAAAGACTGGTCGAAGTGGACGAAGCATGCACTCGCAGAGACGCATGGGAGCGAAGGTCGAAGCGATGTCGGCTCCGAATCCCTTTTGTCCCAATATCCGAGGCATGTGTTGTCTCATGCTTCTCATTAATCTCGGCTTGATTCTCGTCACACTTGGCTTTGTCATCGTCATTCAGTTCGTGGAACCTTTCTTTGTCTGGTGAGTTATTGTTGATGACTTGACTTGACGTGACTGAGTGACGAAGTGACTGACTTTATTCTCATTCTTCATTTCACAGGGTTCTTGGGGTTGTCTTCCTCGTCTTTGGATTTGCAACACTCATTGGTTCGATGATTTATTGTGTGATTGTATGCAAGGACGTGAAGACGCCGTCGCAATTGCGAAACGAAGATTTGTATTGGACGAAACATTGGCAGAAGAACATCGGCTACACGCCACATGAAATCGACTACAAGACCGATCCCGATGGATATTCAGTCAGTAAAATGAGTGGAAAATATTCTGATCGAGCCAGCAGCAACACACGCTACTAACATGAACGGCAACAAACATTAACAACAGTGCCGTAACACAGAGAAGCGTTGTGAATCGATTAAAATGCCATGCGACGTAAGAATGTAACTAAAATCAACTTATTAAGGAAACTAAAATGTTTGTTTAAGAATTTTTTTCCCTGCAACCGTAAAATGACTTAATTTATTAATTAAAGTACCTGAAATACTTAAAACATGAAATGAATAAATTCGAATGTTATTAAAAAATCAAAAAATTGACAAATGCCGTTAGAAAAGTTTTAATAATTTTTTTCTGCTTGTCATGATTTTAAATTTCAGACAACGAGAGCGAAGACTAAGCTTGAATGATCTAATGAACTACAAAAACGTCGCACTCAATTGCAATAAGCGCAGATTTGTAATGCGCGTTCTCATTCCTTGAATTTCTTGAGTATTTACCACAGAAACCTTAAGTTGACAACCGAGGCAAGGCAAGAACCTTCTTAGCATTATAATTATCTAAATAATCAATAAGTATTTATAACGAACACACGTTGAGTGTGGTTTTGTCATCTTATTTATGATCAATAAAATTTCAGCTCGTAAAATCAAAGACGTGATTAGAGACAAAGTAGAAAGAAGTTTCATTTTAAATGTCGCGTTTATGTCACCAAACATGGGCTTGGAAAGTCTCAAAACGTGCTCAAAGCTTATGCCTTGTGGTGACTGAAATAGTTTCGTAATCATCTAATAAATATTTTAAGAGATTTGCTTAGAGAACGTTCAAATTCACTCTTTTGTAAGTGGTTAAGCTTAATCCATAAGTTTAGTAGACAAAGGAATATTCGAAGTTATGATCAAGTGACAGTTATGGTTGACTTCATATCTACGGGTCAAAGAGTTTAGAAATATCTTCATCAATAAATTGTTTTGTTTGTCTATTGAAATATCTTGTGGATCTATGAAAGTCAGAAAGAAAATTTATTTCCATTTAAATGTTAATTACAAATATTCCCTCAGGTATTTATCGCTTTTTTATTTCAATTTATACTTTGTTTGTTATGAATCGGCCGCAATGACCTCCGGTAAAATGGTACATGAGTCATCATCGATGCTCGAACAAAGTTTCAATTAAAACAATTTTTATGTTGCACTTGATCGTCTGAGGTGAGGTTTTGTTTGATTTGATTGACATAAATATGTAAAAAAGGCACAAAACGAGAAGCTCACAACGTTGTTAGAAACTTTTATTTATTCATTCAGTTAAACATCAAAGTAAACTTCATCTGCCAAATAAGTTTTCAAACAGGCAGCACATTCAATAACACCAACCTCATAATCATTCTTTTGTTGCTGTTAGCACTTCGCTCACGATCTTTCTAGCTTCCGAGAGATGATCTTGTGATGTTGCGAACTGAAAAATATTGATTACTGCCTGCCACGCCACACAACATGCAAAATTGCCGCCTTGAAACTCTTTCAAACATCCTTGACATCGAGCGTTTACCTTTTATTTGCTGTTTTATGCGTGCAACAACGTGCCTTACCTTCTTTTGTTTGTCGAATGCTCAATGCCACTCACCGTCACCGTCATCAGAGTACTCAGTGGAAAGCAAGCTTTCAAAGCTGAACAATAAACAAAAAACTTCTGGATCGTTAAGGAAATAAAAAGACTTGCGATATCGATTTCAGAAATTAACTTCACTTTATTTTATTATTTCATCTCATTTTCATTAAATTTGCTTCTTTTTTTTCTTTTCACATTTTATTTATTTATTTAACCGTTAGCATCATAAAAAAATGTTTCAAGTTTCATAATAAAATTAATAAGTTAAAAAAACATTAATTAACTTTAGTTTTTAAAACTTTACGATTATTCTTTCTTTCGTTTTTTATATGGCAAAATTATTTTAAAGCTTTTCGCAACATTTTTGAGTTTTCTTTTGAAAACCGCGACTTTGAGACAATTAATCGCTACTTATGTTGTCGCTGTTAGTAGCGTGTGTTGCTGCTGGCTCGATCAGAATATTTTCCACTCATTTTACTGACTGAATATCCATCGGGATCGGTCTTGTAGTCGATTTCATGTGGCGTGTAGCCGATGTTTTTCTGCCAATGTTTCGTCCAATACAAATCTTCGTTTCGCAATTGCGACGGCGTCTTCACGTCCTTGCATACAATCACACAATAAATCATCGAACCAATGAGTGTTGCAAATCCAAAGACGAGGAAGACAACCCCAAGAACCCTGTGAAATGAAGAATGAGAATAAAGTCAGTCACTTCGTCACTCAGTCACGTCAAATCAAGTCAAGTCATCAACAATAACTCACCAGACAAAGAAAGGTTCCACGAACTGAATGACGATGACAAAGCCAAGTGTGACGAGAATCAAGCCGAGATTAATGAGAAGCATGAGACAACACATGCCTCGGATATTGGGACAAAAGGGATTCGGAGCCGACATCGCTTCGACCTTCGCTCCCATGCGTCTCTGCGAGTGCATGCTTCGTCCACTTCGACCAGTCTTTCTGCTGCTTGCAACTGAGTAGATACTGCGTGGCTTCGAGTGCTGATAAACGCGATCACGTTCTCGATGTGTCGAGTATCGGCTCATCTCTGATGGGGCTCTGTACACCGCACTTGTCACATAAATATCACCGTTTTCACCGCCATGATCGTAACTCAAAGCTGAGGGTGCCCTTGGCGGAGGCCGACTTGGGGGACTAGATAAGGGACGTGGACCATCGTAGATTCCATTTTGACTCTTGGATCGTTCACGTTCACGTGACTTTCTCGATGGAGCAGTCGGAGGTGACGATCGCTCGTTCACCATCGTATATTCTGACAATGTTCGTTCGGAAGGTGGTCGACTATCGTCACCATCTGAGAAATAAGCGCGATTTGTTGAGCCATAAGGTGGCGATGGGCTGCTGTTGTGTGTCGCCACATAATGTCCCTTCCTCACCTTCCGTGCTTGTCTTTCAAGACTCTTCATCGTATGTTGATTAGTTTCGTTTTGTCAAAGATCCGCAGCGAAGTCTTTTTTAATAATTTCAGTCGTTAAGTAAACTTAAACAGTCAAAGATCGATTACTTAGATCGTTGAGGCCATTTACAGCAACATGCCTGCTAATGATTCTGTAATGACAAGAAAACAAGAAACAAATTGTAAATTGTACCGTCGTCAGTCATAAACTATTTCCGTATTAAAGAAAATATTAAAATAAAAAATCATTTTTTATGGCACATATGTCAATGAATTCATTTATAAATGTCATTACTGAAGCCAGTCTCGTACGCCCACGCTACATCTGATTTTGAAATCAACATACTCGAAATATCCATTTAATAAATAACAGAACTGTTTGTGTGAATGAAACTTGGTTTTGATTGGCGATTTTTTGGTCAAAATACAATTCAGTGACGCGATTTTATCGTTTTTGGTTTCAGAATGATTTAAAGTTTACTTGCTGTTCAGTTCACAGCAAAAGGAACTGTTGAAATGACTTCATTTCATTCAATATATCTTGAATCGAGGTTTAAATTGCGTACAAGTATTCACTAACTAACGATATCTTGATTAACATGTCAATTGTTCAAGGCAATTTCGCCTTTAATTTCATTCAATCTTAAAGCACAGTTCCGTTAGCAAGCAAACGATCAACAAAACAATACAAAAACTAAACCATAAAAGCATTTTTTCTATAACATTCACCAGCAGACTTTCGCAACATTTCTTTGCGCCATTTCCATTCAACCTTTTACTTATTTCTAACTTCTAAAGTATTTACATTCTCTGTACTTTATCGCAACTTAACCGATACACATCATTACAAGCCATTAAAAATTTGCATAAAATTGAAAGTTAGTTTATTTTACTTTCCGCCATCTGCCGCCATAAATAGCCGCCACTTAAATGTTTGCTTAAAAATTTCATTCAAATGCAAGCCGACGAAAAAGTGAAACCGCTCTTCACGCTGCATGCTGGTTCGTTGTTTGCGCAACACTTTTTACTTCTTGTTTGTTGTTACTTAGAAATGGAACACGCCAATTATGTAGACATCAATTTAACGATGAAATTATTATTCTCGTGCAAGTGGCGATAGTCATTGACAATTATTTATCTACCATACATTTAATGACGTCGAGTGTTTCCATAAATTTCCATTCTTGAGATAAGATCACTCTTCGTTTCTTTCTTATTATTTCGAACCATTTAATCTACTGAGAGACCTTCAACGATCAAAACAATTTCTGAACCGGTAAAGTGAGTTAATTACAGATGATTAATCAAATTCGATCTCGCCACTAATGCTTGGTCGAAGAATGATTTGCGGAATTATTCGGTCGCAGTCTTTAATTTATACTGGGAAGTGGGGAAAAAAATTAAAGTTTGCTATCGACCTTTGTAATAATTTGGCAGAAAAATCAACGCTTATTAGTTTTCTAATCTCTGTTTAGTTAACGATCTTTTAAACTTCAATAAACTTCTCATATCTCACTCACAACAATTGATTCATCATATGTCAAAATTTACATTTCGCGAGATGGTTACGTTGAGATAAATATCGTCGACATGTTCACATCGTTGTTCACCTCGTTTCATGTCAAAGTCAAAAAGTTTCTCTCATTCTCTTTCTCATCTTCAAAAGACATCACAACGCCAGTGATTCACTGTCAACTGTTTTCAATTTCAAGTTTCATCAATGAAAATGTTGCCTTTATTTTAAGTTAACGTAAGTATACATAAAGTGAGATATTTTCCTGTTCAACTTGTTTTCATTTTGTTGCAAAAAAAGAAACTGAATCGACGTCCACTGATTTTCTTTAAGTGGCTCAAAAACCGTTCACCACACACATTTCTTGTAATCAACAACTGCGTGGACACGGAATCCCATTTAAATGTTATCATCATTGAAAACTAGAAGCATTGCAATAAACCGACCGCTTGTCGTTTGTTTTGAAGGTTTTCTTCACGTCACAAGTCGAATTGATTTAAAATATGTTTTCATACATGGAACTCCCATTTCATTCCTCCTCCCTATCGCGTTCCAATCTTCAGCTTCATTAGCTAATTCCATTCACATTAAATCAATCTTGAAACTCCCCAGTTCCATTTCAAGATTTAAAAATTAATTAAACAAACAAATAAATCAGCAGGAATTTGAAGGATGATGACGGCGATGGTTTCAATCGCATTCATCTTGACATGCTATTGAATTTATTTATAATATTTTTTCTATGCTAATCAACAACATCCTCAACATTTCCACACCCATCTTAAAATTGACTAGAAACAAGGAAGGAAAATAGCAAAAACTTTCTTCGATGATACCGCGAACTCTCACAATGGGATGTTGGTTGGATGATGTTAGCAAGCATAAGCCAAGAACGAATTAACCGCTAGCAGTAAATAAGAAATGGGAATGAATATGTTGGCTCATAACGACGAGTAAAAATGGCATAATAACAATTGGTAAAAAGGTATCCAATTTATCTCTTGTTTTAAATCTTTTGCATTTTTCATTCATTTAATGTTTTACAATAAAACTCGGAAATATTTTTTTAGACTTTAGCAACAAAAAAAAAAACAAAAAACAAAACAGTTTAAAACAAAAGCATGAAGAGAAATGAAATGAGACTAAAACAACAGTTATGGAGCACCTTAAATGTTAAAACCAAAGAATATATTTAATACTTTTGCTGCTCCAAATCTCAACTGTGCATATTCATTTTCCTCATGGCAAAAGAAGCGATAGATATTTATGTAAAAACAGAATAAAAAGAACAAATTAGAATAACGCTCGGTTAACATCTTTTATGTTACATGTTTTTGTCGTCAGTAGCTTAAATAGATAAAAGAAGCTAACTCGACGACAAGACATAAATAAATTGAGTCGCGACAACAGAAAGAAAATCTTTTAAGTATGTACGTAATGTAATCGAATTTTGCCCGCCCACACAATGTTTTTTCTCGCGATTATGAAGCGAGAAAAATAAAATAGTCAAGGAAGAAAATTTTTTTTAACAACTTTTAAATGGCAATGTAAATTGCATTTCACGCTTGCTACAAGAATTTATTGCTACAAATCTTTTTATGAAACTTTAATTAATGATGTCATTTTAATGCACATTGAAGCTTGTTTTTGTTTTATTCTTATTGCAGCTTTTCACCCACAACAACGACATCATCATCAAACCTTTACTTTTATATCTCTTGCGTTCTTTCTCACATTCAGAGAGGCTCAACAACATTCAAGTAAGCAAACGATTAAGCAATTTGCGATGTACAATGTTTTATAAGTGGCTTTGCTGCGAGGCTTTATTTGCTAAACATAATAAAACTTCAGCAGAAATTGAAAATCACATGAAGTGGAGCGAAATAAATCTCATATAGATACGCTTATTGATCTACGGCTCTTCGTTTCGCGGTTTATGTTATAACTTGTGGAAGCTTTTTTTTACTTTTGTTATTTCGAATTCAATGTGAAGTTGAAAAAGTTGTGTACACAAATAAGTATAAATTCGCTGCTGTGGTGTGTACTCACTGTGAACATGAAATTAAATGTTGCATAATTGATTCTTTTAACTATTTAAGCAGCGGATTTTTATGTTACTTACTTCTCTACACTCAATTCATTGCTCAACATTGCAAGTAACGTCGACAACTGCGCTTGTAAATGGTACGTACATCTTCGATGGAATGTGAGAATGTTTCGTCGATTCAAAAGTGCTGCTATTACATCAGCATCGTGCGCTAGTTCTCGAAGAATGTAGTCAGCCGAATGAAAGGAAAGTAAATAAGTAATGAAACGACATGCAACATGAATGTCACGACTAAACAGCTTTTTAACAGTATTTATTGTGAAAGGAAGACAGTCTGACTGCGTGCATAAGCTGAACGAATTCGCGGAACAAATTTCTTCGAGTGAAAGCATCTCATGTGTTTAATTTATTAATTTTATTTCATTGTCAGCCGAAATAATTAATGAAATCCGATGATTAATTGCTTATAACACTTTCGAGAATGTTTTTCTGATTTCAAAGCTTGAGTTATTTATGATCATGACACTTGAATTGAAAGAATTTCCATTTAATTTTAACTTCCAAATCTTATCGTAATAACAACAACCGAGTTATTTATAGGATCACGTCATGCTTCCAATTTATGTAAATTAATTATATGTAAATAATTTCTTAACGTAAGTTCACTTGCATGCTGTGGGTTTTGTGGGAAAATGATCTGTTTTATAATTTATTTGATTGTACAATGTACATTAACCAAACAACAATTTCCGCTTGCTAATGAACCGAAACGGAAAGAAGAGAAAGAAATTTTCGTGGCAAGCCGCACATCATTCGTTTGTTTCTTATTTTTAACTTAGACTTCAAATTTCCAGATATGATTAATGACGTTGTCTTATTACAAAAATCAACAATGAATTAATGGAACACGAACAAGTACGTAGATAAAATATGTAAGTAAAGTATTGAAAGCCTACCACCCAATTTGTAACCGCATTTGATTTGAAATCTTTCACTCGCATTACCAATGAACCAAAAATAGTTTAATTAACTGTTGCGGTGTGTTTCTAATTAGAGTCATAAATTTTCCTTTTTTCCAAACCAGCACAACGGGAATGCTTTTCAATACAAATTACATAAATTAAAAGTGCCAAAAGTACTATTTATTGAAAGGAAAACTATGAATTAATGTTTCAAGTTAGTGAGAAGAGAAATGAATGAAGAAATAATTTTTCAACTTTTAAACTTGATGTTACGAAAGGTCACATTCTCACACCACAGCCACTTCATGATAGCTTAGAAATCCACTCAACTTCTCTTCTTCTGTTCTTCAACTTAAGAAAGCTTAAAGATTTAAATAAAATCAGCGCAACTGTGTTAATGCAACAGTTCAATCATAAACTTTTGTCTTTAATACTTTTTCTTCCTTCATTCCCATTGTCGATTATGTTGCTCATTCTAATGATTTACGATTCAATGAATCTATCGCATATCTAAAGGTGTTACTTACTTATTTAATAGTTTTCCCTCTGCCTCTATTTCTCACTTGTTTCCCATGATTAGTTTATAATGTTACTTCTTCTCATCCATCCAGTCGCGTCTTCAATTCTTCATTTGTTATGAAATTCATCTTTAACAACTTCATCGCTTCGTTACACGCTACTTTATTCAATTGCGATACGATGGCTTAAACATTAAGCTCGAAAAGTGCTATAAATTCTTTTCTACTATTTAAATCTAAATGAGAATAAAGTGAAAAGCGTCTCCAACTAATCTGAATGCGATCTTTAGTTTGATAATCATGAGAGATTTACGAGTTATGTTTCATGAGAAAAGAGAATTCTGTTTTTAGTATGATTCGCTAGATTATTCAACAATTCGTAATTAAAACCCGAAAAAAGAAGAATCACGCTTTTCAGTCTAGGCTACCAGCTGAGAATAGCTTTAAATTAAAAAAAATTATTCTGTCTGGTGATTTACAAGTTGAGAGTTTACCATTGTTTCGCTATTTTTCACAACTGTTGTTGTTGTCTTTTTTGTTATTCTTCTCTTCTTGAGTCACAAAAAAAATGAAATTCGCTTCAGCAGTGCTATAAAAATTATTTAGTCATCATCAAGGCTTTTATTTTTTCGCCTAGAAGCATAACAATATTTAAAGCAAGGTGAAATGAATGGACGGACGGACGGTTCTTTCACATGGATTCTCTTTATATGGAAATGTTATGGAAGTTGCCTTGGAAAGTAATTTTGCGAAATATTTACGAGCTCTAAAATGGACCGTCGGGGACGACGACATTCAAACCGTCACACAATTTTTTTGCCAATTTTCAGCCACTAAAGCGTAAATAATTCCATTAAAATCTTGACAAAGGTATGAAAAAAAGAGAACATTAATGTGAAGATTCACATCAAATATATAATAAATCATAATCAATCAACGATCAGGTTGAGTGAGTCGGCAATGTTATTGAACTCATGTTTCGACCATTAATTCGTTGTTTTTACTTTTTTGCAACAGTTCTCCGAAAACTTTCTGCAATGACTTTGAATACAATTTATAAAAGCGTGGTAAACAGACATTGCGGAACTTTTAAAATGATATTCAAATCGAGGTAAAATGTGTTTTCCAGATGGTTGAGCTTACATCGTCAGGAAGCGTGTTGAAAGTTTTTTAATTTAATTATTGGATTTAATAATCATTCAAGTGATCGTGAATATCACGTATCAATCTTTATTACACCACATCAAAGACTAAACTTTAATGTTGCAAAATTACAGAACATTGAATAACTAATTATCACTTTGCAGATGATTAATTGAAGTCAACTTTAAACACTCAATGAGATAAAGATCGAGCAACTATGCAATCAATTAGAAGAGTCAGTGAAACGCTTAAACTTTTTATTATTTATTATTAAAAATAATTGTAATGTTCACCGAGTTCCTTGCATTTGCTTAACTTGATTTCACTCTATGCGACTCGTTCTCACCCATATTTGCATTCAAAGAAATATTTTTCGTTTTGTTTTCTTTTCTCACGTTTGGTTGAATCTTTTGTATGCTTGTTTCGTTCTTAGATACAAAACCATTGATAATTGAAAGCATTTTGTTAGTCATGATAATGGAAATAAAAGGAAAGAAGAAGCTTCTTATCTTGCTTATACGTTCGATTGACTTAATCATAAAGACATATCGACAACGACATCATATTCCCGCTACCCAACTTGGCCACAACCACTTTTTATGGAGTCTCCTAAGTTTCGTATTCTTTTTATTATTATTTTGCATCAATCAAGCCATCTCGATATCGTACGTTGTTGCGATTGCGATGCAACGAAGGAATTTTTATTACAATACAATCATCCTATAGATGGCAAACTATTTGACGTTCATTATCAGATGATTCGAAAGCAATCAATCAAAATTAGCAAAGCGCTAATTGCGGTGTTGGACGTGGTGGTCGAAGTTTAACATTCAAAATGTGAATTGCGTATTAAATTAAACAGAAACTTTTAATGAATTGATTTAAATATTTTCAATTCTGAAATTCGGATTTTAATCTCGTTCTCTGCCTTTGTCGTCGTCGTCACTGTTGAGAATTGTTTCAGTGACTTCAAAGTTAATGATCGTTTAATGGAGCTTTAAAATCAAACTCTGACCACTCTCAATCGTTTGTCACATAAGAACCTGTTTCGAGGGTTTTAAAATTCGCAAAGAATGTTTCTGGATTATCTCAATACAATGATAGTTGAAGGAGAATGACTTGCGTGTGATTTGAAGGAGAATCAAGAAACTACGGAGCAGTAGTGGCTTCAGTGGTGAAGCAAAAAAATAAATAAACCACAAAATGAAACCAAAGAATTGAGTTGAGCTTTCATTTGCATAATTTTCAAATTCGTTTT